TTCATGAATTTCTTTGAGTATATATTTGGTCCATATTCTGAAAAAATATAATCATGACATAAATATTCATAAGTAAATTTTTACAAACATAATATATTTGTATATATATTTACAAACATAATAAAATTTGATAACATAACTTATTGACCATTTTTTAAAATGTGGCCACAAAATTAAATATTAAGTAAAGTATTTTAAAGTATACTTTATATGCTTTCTGTATTTAAAATCCATCTAGCTTTGAATTGAGTAAAGTATAACTTAAGTAAGTTTTAAGCAAGAATATACTTTTGAGGAAACAGTGAATATTTTTGTCTTATGATTTATAACTTGTAGACATATTTAAAATAAGTAAACCTACATTTTGTATGGTCACCCCAATTTATTTACCATTATTATTTTACTCTGGTTAGTATTTTTACTCTCAATTTGTTTAAACTCTTCAGAAAGTCTTTATAAATTTAGAATTTTTATACTCTTAAAATCTTGATTAAAAACTAAACTTATATGCTTTTTAAAAAGCAATTAAAAAAAAAGATAGTCTTTGAAGCACATTCTTTCACACTAGGCCATTGAGCCAGTAGGTGAGAGGAAACAGTTCAAATGATAAAATACTTCCATGCTGCGCAGTAAATAGCCATGATCCCAACTATGCTGGCCTTCCCTGAAACTTTCCCCAAAATATCTGGGATCTGCCTATTTATGAGTCAGCCTCTGATACAGAGATTGGTACAGGGCCATCTTATTATTTGGGTGATAATTTAGCTATCATCCCTGCCGTCGTCATCTTTGATATCAGATATTGATTCACGTTCTTGTTGTCTTTTTTCTCTCTCTCTCTCTCTCTCTTTCTTCTCTTCCTTTCCCTTCCCTTCCCTTCCCTTCTCCTCTTCCTCTTCTCTCTCTCTCTCTCTCTCTCCCTCTCTCTCTCCCTCTCTCTCCCCCTCTTGCTTTCTCTTTCTCTCTCTCCTCTCTCTCTTTTGCTCCCTCTTTCCTCCCCCCTCCCTTTTTTTTTGGCAGGGATCTTGCTGCCTTTGACAAATCCCATGATCTAACTGTCCGCACCTACCAAGAGCACAAAGCCAATATGCACCCTGTGACTGCGATGCTGGTGGGGAGAGATTTAAAAGTGGATTAAGGACCTACCTGCTGCTGATTTCAGAAAGCTTTGTTTTTTAAGTTGAATTCGTGAAGAAATGTAAAACTTCAGCTTACATTGTAATTAAAAATACCTTTAGTTTTAGCTTTTTATTATTTTGCCAGTGATTTTGCTAAATTTTGCTACCTTGTTTTTAAATGGTGATATATTCTTTGTAAAGTAAACTTCAGTGAACTTTAATCTCTTGCTTTACATGTCTAAAATTATTTTTTTGAGACAGGAGCTCACTATGTATGCCAGACTGGACTTGAATTTGCAATCCTCCTGCCTCACCCTCCTGTGTGCTGGGATCACAGATATGACCATCACACCTAGCACAAGTTTTAAAATTTTAAATTAACATCCTATTAATTTTCTCTCACAATAATCGCAAACTGTGTCGACATATTATTTACCTTATGTTTTATTGAAGTTAATTTGAATCTGCTGCAAACGAAAAATTCAGCATCATTAGGGTTTTCCTTTTTAAGAAATGCTAAACGTGAATACTTAGTTGGTGGTCATAGGATGAACTTCTTCTCCAAAGCTTGTGAACCCTCATGGGAGCCCTCTGCTCCCCAGCCCTGGATCTGTCCTCTTGACCCAGTGAACTCGTTCTCCTGTTCTTCATGGGTCAGATGGCCACCCTGAGCATCAGTACCTCCATCAGTCCCTCAGCGAGCTTCCCAACAGTGTTGAGTCTGTCAGCCTGCCTCATTGCCTGTTCTTCACCCACATAGAGCATAGAGTGTATAGAAACACTTATTGAAAATAAGTCACTTTGAACCAAATAAAAGACAAGTATCACAGAGCACCCCTGTAAATGTAATGTACTGCCCCAGGGCACCTTGCCACACAGTTTGAGAACCACAGCTGTATTAGTTAAAATTCTTTTTATTTTTCAGTAAAGCAACCCAAATGCCTGGAAGTCAGCAAAGGAAGAAGAAAATTATTTAAGGATCCAAGGTCAGGGAGGGGGTATCAGAACCAGTGAACAGACAGAGAGGGCTGTAAAGCCATCAGCCCTTCTGTCTCATCTGTGAGTCTCTAGTCCATGTGTACAGCCTACACACTCCAACTCTACTCTGGCGAATGATCCCTACTACATGGAGAGATCATCTCAATTCTAAATCCCAGAGGCGAGACTGACCCAGGGTGGGTCCACTGCTGGCCAAGTAAACTCCAGCCAAGAGCAGTGTTGTCTTGGATTATAGGTCTGAGTGGGAGTGTGTCATCATCAAATATCCTCCCCCAAAAAAAGTGCTAATGCAGCGACTAATGTCTTAGATAGATAGAAGTAAACACCCAGAGATGGGACAGGTATCGAAGGGACAAGAATCCTGAGACTTCTCCCTTGCTCCCACTCTCCCTAGCAGTTCCATTCTTTGGAACATTTACCTGTGCTGCAATGTGATTTTTTCTTAAGGCTCAGCTCGCCTTGGCTTCCTTTGCCAGGAATACAGAGAGAGCTTAGCTCAAATCCCTGCTATAGAATCATGTAAGGGATTAAACTTGAGCAACTCCATGCACCCAAATAATGCTTTTTAAGACTTCTTAAGGCCCTATGAGCTTACAAGACAAAGTATAAGCTAAAGCCATTTTTCAATGGTCAGTTAATGAGTGATACTGAAAGTGAATTGAAGCAAGAGATGCTTGAAGGATAGTGTGGAAGGATGCTACGAAAAGGTAGAGGGCGCTAAAGACAAGCTTACTAGGTACAGTTTACTAGGGCCATTGTGGGAGTTCATACTGACTATTCAGCTAATAAGCGTATGTTGAGTATCTGCTGGGCTGGGTACACACATGATTACTGGATGAACAAAGATAAGCAATTTCTAGATAATGCTAAAGAAGGGAATGTGCTAAAGTAGCCTGGCAGAGTTAGCCGACCCAACTGAAGGGTTTAGGGAATGTTGCCTAGAGAAGAGAAAGCCTGAACTGAGTTTTCAGGAGTAAGAATTATCTAGCCACACAAAGAAAGTTGGAAAGTGGGTTGGTGAGAGCATAATGTGACTAAGCCTGCTCCACAATGTCTAAGGCCTGAGTTTAGAGTCCTCAAACAGCTGGGGGTGATTTAACAGCTAGCATTATCTCAGAATGATTCAAAAGCTGGGCTCACCTAAGACTGTCAGCTTTGAGTAGTTTGGGTTTCCTTCCAGCCTGGGGGTAGGCGGACATCTTAGACTTCCTAAGTCTGTATCCATCATCAGACAGTGAAGTGCTATGAAGGCAGAGAAGGGATCTTATTACATCCCCATCATTTGCATAGAGCTCAATACATAACAGTTGCTCAAGAAAGATTTGTTGAGTGAATGAGCGAATGGAGGAGGGCAGAGAGAGCGTGGCTCACATCCTGAGGGCCTCAGTTTTCCCAGAGATGTAAGCTTGCCTCTAAGATGAAGCTTGCCTCTAAGAAGTAGATGAGGTGCAAGTTAAGGAGGGCTGAAGATTTGGGAAATTCACTGAGGGGAGGAGTGAATCAAAGGGCAGTAAGTGCTACCCCAAGTCTGCAGGATCACAGGACTTCCCTCAGCAGTCTTCCTCCTGGGGAAAAGAGATGGCAACTTAGGTTTCACTCCATGTATAGGCATAAATTTAGGATTGGAAAGGACCTTGAAAGTGGTGGGGAGTGGAAGGAAGCAGGAGGGCAGGTTCAAGGGCAGGGAAGATTGAAGTCAGGGGAATGGTGGAGGACAAGAAGGTTGTGGTCAGAAGGTGGGGTATTGGAATTCAAAGTATCTTCAGGTGAGGACAAATTCCAGGTCCAGGGCATTAGCGGCTGAAGAGCAAATTTCATTGAGATTGCAGGGAACTGTCAGAGGGAAAGCCTCTGGCTGTGGGTATGGGTGGCTGTTGGGAACAGCTGTGTCTCAGTTTCCAGTGAAGTCTGTGGTAGTGGAAACAGACTTTTCAGGATTTTCTACTACAATAGTCAAATTTCTACAAAATGGCTTATCAGCAACAGTGCTGCTTAGTAAACAGAGCGCCTGCATTTGAATCCTTTTTCATGCTAATCATAATTCCTTAATACTACTAGTAATGAACTGGGTGCAGGAAGCAGTTATCTGGGGTGAAGAAACTTCACTGATAAGTGAGTGCCATGCTGAAAGAACATTCACCAAACAACAGAGGTGATGGGGAGAATTAAAGTGATGGCAATCACAAACACTTCTTCAGCATTTCCAATTTGCAAGTGCTTTCATATGAATTCACATTGTCCTCCCAGCAGCCCTTTGAAATAGGTACTATTATTATCTCCATTTCACAGATGAGAAAACTGAGGCCCAGAAAAGTCAGGTAACTTTCCCAACAGTCAAACAGCTAGTAAATTGTAAAGCCAGGATTCGCTCCCAGGGAACTTCTGCAAAATACTGCAGTGAATAGTGAGCCCCTTTGCCTTTGGATGAGGAAACAGGCTAATAACTCAAGGGCAGTAAGTCATGGACCTTTAAGCCATGGTTGTTCATTTGTCCAGGTCATGACCTTTAGTTGTGAAAATGATCTCTGGCCTCCTCACTCTTTTGTAGAACAAGAGATTCAGAAGGACTTATGGCTGGCAGGAAGTAGTTGCTCAATGCATTTGTGAAATAAATAAATGAATGAAGATTGCCACACTCCTGAGTGTCACAATTGGCCAGCAGGGTGCTTTTTACAGTTGAGTAATTCCTGATAAAGTCAGGAACAAGATGTTGATAAAACTGCCCTCGACAGAGGAAAACACGGGCAGACAAACAGGAAAGAGGGAAAAATTAGTGACCCTGGCCAGAGGGGACCTTGCTATCAAGGGCTGAGCCCCCAGGTGGGAGACCCCAAGCAGGGGCTGGATTGCAGGTGGATAGGCAGTCATCTGCCTGCATCCTCCTCTTCTGCCCCAAGCTGAGCTGCAAAAAGCCAAAGGAACATTAGGGGCCTCCGTAAATATTTGGCCAACATATGAATGAGTAAAGGCAAGGGAAGGGGTGTGTTTTGAAAGTCCATCCCAACCTCCCAACTGACCACACCTAAGCTGTCACTCCTGGATAAAAACTCTCCCTCCTCCCAGGACTGTGAAGGGAAGAGCAGGCACCTGGTTGTGCTGGCCTCATCTGGGCAGGTGGCAACAGCAGAATCATGCCCAGGTACACTGTGCATGTGCGTGGGGAGTGGCTGGCAGTGCCCTGCAGGGACGGGCAGCTCACGGTGGGCTGGCTGGGCCGCGAGGCGGTGCGTCGCTACATGAAGAACAAGCCTGACAATGGGGGCTTCCCCTCCGTGGACGTCGTGCACTTCCTTGTGCGTAGGTGCAAGGGCTTGGGCCTGCTGGACAACGAGGACCTGCTGGAGGTGGCTCTGGAGGACAATGAGTTCGTCGAAGTGGGTGAGTGGCTTCAGGAAAGGGGGATGAACCAGTAAGGCATGGCCTGGATTTGTCCCTTCAGGCATGGAGGGAGGCTCTACTGTCACCCCCATTTCAGGAAAAATCATGAGAATAGTGGAACCACTTGTTGAGTGCTTGCTCTGGGCCAAGCCTCAGATACCAAATTCGCACAACTCTGTGAGATACGTAGGCTTTTCATCCACCTGCCTTTGACAGCCAGCCAGGCAAGACTCAGGAGGTGACTTCCCTAGAGTCAGGCAGCTATTAAGTGACAAAGTCTAGACTTAAACCCAAGACTGCAGGTCCAAATCCCTTTGCGCAATCATTTTGAAAGTTCTTTTGCCCATGGACAGATCTCATCAGATATTAGGCCGGCAGCCCAGAGGCCTCAGAAGTTCAGATTTAAAAGACAACACAGTGGGAGTGGAGCTGGAGAAGGGGGCTAGATCTTGAACTTCCAGTTAAACCCCTGTGTCTGTAACTTGGTATCCTGTGTAAAGATGCTAAGACCATGTGACAGCTTTAGAGCTCATTGTAAAACAGTCATTTCTATAGAATCCACTAGCATTCGATAGATGGGCACTTTCCTGGTCTAACAGGACAAACCAAATGTGGCTTTATGTTGTGATCTGTAAGGGCTCTCTCCTGCCTTCTTGTTTCAGTCATAGAAGGCGATGCCATGTCCCCTGATTTTATTCCCTCTCAACCAGAAGGAGTTTACCTGTATCCTTTCCATCTCTGGAAGCTACATTTACTATGGTGGGTCTGGGGCTTTTCCATACTACCAGAATTTTCCTTAACCTGACTTTAGATACAGCAAATACCGGGAGCCTGAAAAGGTAAGATGCAAACCACTTTCTTTTTGTGGAGAAAATGATCCTCTCCAATTTCAGGAGGAAGAAAGCCAGAAACATTTGAATTAAACGCTATCTACTAGGATAGGACCTCTAGATAGCTCTAGATAGTAAGGACAGAGAGCTTGGCAAGGCATTACTTCTGCATTTCTTACTTTTCTTAATTTGAGCAAGCTGTCATTTTAGTTAGCACATTAATGTTTCACAACAGTAATAAAATCCCTTATGTCGAGTTTGATTATGCTGGAGGTATCTTGTTAGAGCAATTAACCTGTTCATATTCACTGAAATACCCTCCTCCTGTGTAGTACATTGCCTTGGATGGGGACAGTCTGAGCACAGAGGACCTGGTCAACTTGGGAAAGGGACATTACAAAATAAAGGTATGGGGGGAGAGAAGGACATCCTTTGGCCATTTTTGCTGGACATGGAAGTCTTCAATGTGCTTGCTTCCTTCTGACCCATGCTTTCACAGCTCACTTCAATTGCTGAGAAGAGGGTACAAAAATCCAGGGAAGTCATAGACAGCATAATAAAAGAAAAAACAGGTATCTTCTTCTTTTTGTGTTATCAAATTTATTTTATAGACAAATAAAATCTCCTGCATCTAATCACATAATGTCTTTTTTTTTTTTTAATTCCAGTTGTTTACGGTATTACTACAGGTTTTGGGAAATTTGCCAGAACTGTAATTCCTGTTAGTAAGTTACAGTAAGTTTGAAACACACATTCACATCCCACCTTCCCCTCTCTTTGCGATTTTGTTCAACAAGGGAAATCATTGATGTGTGCCCCAGTTTCCAGATGGGTAGGGGGAGAATGGAAATCCAAATTGGTAGTGAAAACACAGGCTAGCTGGTTGCCCAAGGATGTAATTATTCTCCTCTTCCCAGCTGAGAAAACATTTTTCTCCAGGGACTTCTAAGAGAGTTTTTACTTTTCTCCTCCAGGGAGCTTCAGGTCAACTTAGTTCGTTCCCATTCTTCAGGTAAATCATTCAATGTGTTGGGTGCCTCCTGGATCTTGTTTCATTAGCTGAGAAAAGCATAGCACAGTGTGAGTCATCCTGTAGCCACAGCAGTTAGTATATTCCAAGAGCATCCAGGGACTGGGTACAAAGGTTAAAAGGGAAGTAGATGACATCAGACTAGATGGCTTTTCTCCTGCATATCAGAAAAAATAATGGGCCAGGTGAAGGGATGGGGTTGGGATGGGTGCATGTGTCCAAGCCTGTGGAGAGAGTGGTGCATTCAGGGGAGGAAACACAGGCAGGAACTCAGTGAATGAGTTATGACTGGTGAGGTAAGATGGGAAAGTCTACCAGGGCTCAGTGTCATCAAACCATGAAGGAGCTTGTGCCAATGAGCCTCGACTCTATTCTAAAGGTATTTTGGAGTACAGGGTTCACTGAATTGTTCCAGGATAGGGGACAGAGAAGGCAAGCCTAGGGCTTAACCTTTGTCTGGCCAATGCTTTAAGCAAGACAGGCAGCAGGGACAGCTGTCCAAACAGCTGCAGAAAGTACATAGGAGACTGTACTGAAGTGGGGAAAGGTTTGAGGGATGAATGGAGGCAGCTGGGAGGTGGGAGAAGGTTTGGTTTTCCTGGAGAAAATGTCAATTCTGTTCTGTAGGTGTTGGGAAACCACTTAGTCCTGAGAGGTGTCGGATGCTCTTGGCTTTAAGGATCAACGTCTTAGCCAAAGGATACAGTGGCATTTCCTTGGAGACCCTCAAGCAAGTTATTGAAGTATTTAATGGTAAGGCAATGAATCCGCAGACTGGCCTTTCATGAGGCTGGGCACATCCCACAAGTAGACTTGATTGACTGGATGTGGAGGAATCTCCTGAGATAAGACAAAATAATTGAGATGAGTAGAAAATGGGCTTGAAAAGAAGGAGAGCTAGATGAGGAACAAGAGGGGCAGAGACAGTTATTCCTGTGACCTTTAACCCATCCTTCACTTTGCACTTGGCATCTAGAATGAGTTGGATATGGTGGTTCCTGCCTATAATTCCAGCTATTCAGGAGACAGAGATTAGAAGAATTGCAGTTCAAGGCCAGTCTGAGCAACAAGTTAGCAAGACCCTTATTTCACCAAAAAAGCCAGGCATGGTGGTGCACACCTGTGATCCTAGCTACACAGGAGGATGACAGTCCAGGCCAGCCTGGAGTGGGGGAAAAATGCAAGACCCTATCTGAAAAATAACTAAAGCAAAAAGAGCTGGAGGCATGGCTTAAGTGGTAGAGCACCTGCCTAACAAGCCTGAGGCCCTGTGCTCAAATCTCAGTGCTGCCTCCCCAAGATAGAAAGAGCCTTTCTTAAATCTACTCTTAAATTCAATCCTAGACAGAATTTTCAATTCAGTGGTATCCACATGTGATTAGAGAAGGTGCCCCAACTCATCCAAGGAACACACTGATTTCCTGGATGATGTCCATCCAAAGCCCAGTTTAGTAGTTCTAGCTAGCACCTGGGAATCTGAAATCTTAGCACTCCTCAGGTGATAGACCAGCTAGATTTGCACACTGAAACTCAGCTTCCTGCAGAAATAGGACAGAAATGTAAAGAGATTAATGACTTGCATAATCATGAAGCCACTATCATACAGGACATGATACAACTCAACCCTGTGAAGCTGCCTTCTTAAGAGGGAGATTTACAAGGCTTTGGAAGCATTGTCCCTTCTCACAAAGAAAGAGAAAACTTTTAGGTCAGCAAGAGCTCAGGAACGCCATGGGGAAAGGAGTGGGCCTCGAAGCAGCATAGAGTAGACCATGTGTTCCAGTTGCTTTGCTGTAGGAAGTGACTCATAAATGCCAAGCAGTGACAAGCAGTGTAGCCATCTGCAGGCTAAAAAGCTCTGCTATACTGTAGTGATCCTAACGCCTATCTGCTCCAAACTAGACTGCCCCCAAATCCCACACAGTACAGCTCCAGCCTTGAACCCACCTGTGCTTTGATGGGTGAGTCCAAGGCACCTCTGAGTGCCTAGGGTACTGAGAATTCCCCACGGTGAATTATGATCTGGGAGCTGGCCCATGAATGGCACTGCCTTCTCCTACTGACATTGTCATCGTCATCATCATCATAATCTGAAACAGGGTCTCTCCATGTACCCCTGGCTGGCCTCACTTGAGATTCTCTTGCTTCCACCTCCTGAGTGCTAGGATTACAGTTGTGTGCCACCACACCCAGTCTACTGACACCATTTGACAGCTGGGAAAAACACCAATATCAGGGAGTCTGGTTTTATTTTAGAAAACTGAAGCTTCCTGTTTTGGTAACTTTTTTGGGGAATTTCTACAAAACAGGACATATTCGTTTATAAGGGATGATAAGGTTGCTGACTGAATGACAGGCAAAAAAAAAAGAGGCTCAGTTGCCTATGACCTTGTCACCCCAGTGAATCCTATTAACACTTTGGTGTCCTTCTCAAACCATTTCATATTACTTTTTTTTTTCCTTTTGTGATACTTGGGTTTGAATTCGGAGCCTTGCACTTGCTAAGGCAAATGTTCTACCACTTGAACCAAACCACCAGCCCTTGTATTACTTTGTGTATGTGTGTGTGTGTGTGTGTGTGTGTGTGTGTGTGTGTGTGTGTCAGTATTGGGGTTTGAAGTCAGGGCCTCATGCTTGGTAGGCAGGTGATCTACCTTTGAGCCACACCCCCAGCACGTGTATTACTTTTTAAAGGTAAACATTTACATGTCTCTAAACATTCTCCAATGGTTGCATACCATTTGGTCACACGACTGTCCCTTCATTCCATATTTATTTATTTATTTAATTGTTTTATTATTCATATGTGCATACATAAAATGCTTGGGTCATTTCTCCCCCAAACCCCCACCCCCTCCCTTACCAGCCACCCCCCCTCCCCACCCCCACTCCCTCAATACCTGGCAGAAACTATTTTGCCCTTATCTCTAATTTTGTTGTAGAGAGAGTATAAGCAGTAATAGGAAGGAACAAGGGTTTTTGCTGGTTGAGATAAGGATAGCTATACAGGGAGTTGACTCACGTTAATTTCCCATGCGTGTGTGTTACCTTCTAGGTTAATTCTTCTTGATCTAACCTTTTCTCTAGTTCCTGGTCCCCTTTTCCTATTGGCCTCAGTTGCTTTTAAGGTATCTGCTTTAGTTTCTCTGCGTTGAGGGCAACAAATGCTAGCTAATTTTTTAGGTGTCTTACCTATCCTCACCCCTCCCTTGTGTGCTCTCGCTTTTATCATGTGCTCAAAGTCCAATCCCCTTGTTGTGTTTGCCCTTGATCTAATGTCCACATATGAGGGAGAACATACGATTTTTGGTCTTTTGGGCCAGGCTAACCTCACTCAGAATGATGTTCTCCAATTCCATCCATTTACCAGCAAATGATAACATTTCATTCTTCTTCATGGCTGCATAAAATTCCATTGTGTATAGATACCACATTTTCTTAATCCATTCGTCAGTAGTGGGGCATCTTGGCTGTTTCCATAACTTGGCTATTGTGAATAGTGCTGCAATAAACATGGGTGTGCAGGTGCCTCTGGAGTAACCTGTGTCACAGTCTTTTGGGTATATCCCCAAGAGTGGTATTGCTGGATCAAATGGTAGATCAATGTCTAGCTTTTTAAGTAGCCTCCAAATTTTTTTCCAGAGTGGTTGTACTGGTTTACATTCCCACCAACAGTGTAAGAGGGTTCCTTTTTCCCCACATCCTCGCCAACACCTGTTGTTGCTAATGATGGCTATTCTAACAGGGGTAAGGTGGAATCTTAGTGTGGTTTTAATTTGCATTTCCTTTATTGCTAGAGATGGTGAGCATTCTTTCATGTGTTTCTTGGCCATTTGAATTTCTTCTTTTGAGAAAGTTCTGTTTAGTTCACTTGCCCATTTCTTTATTGGTTCATTAGTTTTGGGAGAATTTAGTTTTTTAAGTTCCCTATATATTCTGGTTATCAGTCCTTTGTCTGATGTGTAGCTGGCAAATATTTTCTCCCACTCTGTGGGTGTTCTCTTCAGTTTAGAGACCATTTCTTTTGATGAACAGAAGCTTTTTAGTTTTATGAGGTCCCATTTATCTATGCTATCTCTTAGTTGCTGCGCTGCTGGGGTTTCGTTGAGAAAGTTCTTACCTATACCTACTAACTCCAGAGTATTTCCTACTCTTTCCTGTATCAACTTTAGAGTTTGTGGTCTGATATTAAGATCCTTGATCCATTTTGAGTTAATGTTGGTATAGGGTGACATACATGGATCTAGTTTCAGTTTTTTGCAGACTGCTAACCAGTTTTCCCAGCAGTTTTTGTTGACGAGGCTGCTATTTCTCCATAATATATTTTTAGCTCCTTTGTCAAAGACAAGTTGGTTATGGTTGTGTGGCTTCATATCTGGGTCCTCTATTCTGTTCCACTGGTCTTCATGTCTGTTTTTGTGCCAGCACCATGCTGTTTTTATTGTTATTGCTTTGTAATATAGTTTGAAGTCAGGTATTGTGATACCTCCAGCATTGTTCTTTTGACTGAGTATTGCCTTGGCTATTCATGGCCTCTTGTGTTTCCATATAAATTTCACAGTAGATTTTTCAATCTCTTTAATGAATGTCATTGGAATTTTGATGGGAATTGCATTAAACATGTAGATTACATTTTTACTATGCTGATTCTACCAATCCATGAGCATGGGAGATCTCTCCACTTTCTATAGTCTTCCTCAATCTCTTTCTTCAGAAGTTTATAGTTTTCCTTGTAGAGGTCATTCACATCTTTTGTTAGGTTTACACCTAGGTATTTGATTTTTTATGAGGCTATTGTAAATGGAATTGTTTTCATACATTCTTTTTCAGTTTGCTCATTATTAGTGTATAGAAATGCTGATGATTTTTCTATGTTGACTTTATATCCTGCTACCTTGCTGTAGCTATTGATGATGTCTAGAAGCTTCTGAGTAGAGTTTTTTTGGTTTTTAAGGTATAGCATCATGTCGTCTGCAAATAAGGATATTTTGACAGTTTATTTACCTATTTGTATTCCTTTTATTCCTTCTTCTTGCCTAATTGCTCTGGCTAGGAATTCCAGTACTATGTTGAATAGGAGTGGAGATAGTGGGCATCCTTGTCTGGTTCCTGATTTTAGAGGGAATGGTTTCAGTTTTTCTCCATTAATGCTGGCTGTAGGTTTGTCATATATAGCTTTTATAATGTTGAGGTACTTTACTTCCATTCCTAGTTTTCTTAGAGCTTTTATCATGAAATGGTGTTGGATCTTATCAACAGCTTTTTCTGCATCTATTGAGATGATCAAGTGGTTTTTGTCTTTGCTTCTGTTAATGTGGTTTATTACGTTTATTGATTTTCATATGTTGAACCACCCCTGCATTCCTGGGATGAAGCCTACTTGGTCGTGGTGAATAATCTTTTTGATGTGTTGTTGAATTTGGTTTGTCATTATTTTGTTGAGGATTTTTGCATCAATGTTCATTAAGGAGATTGGTCTATAGTTCTCCTTTTTGGAAGTGTCTTTGCCTGGTTTTGGGATAAATGTAATACTGGCTTCATAAAATGTGTTAGGCAGTTTCCTTCCCTTTCTATTTCGTGGAACAGTTTAAGGAAGGTTGGTATCAGTTCTTCTTTCAAGGTCTTATAGAATTCAGCAGAGAATCCATCAGGCCCTGGACTTTTCTTTTTGGGGAGACTCTTGATTGCTGCTTCAATTTCATTTTGTGTTATAGATCTATTCAGGTGATTAATTTCCTCTTGGTTCAGTTTTGGATGATCATATGTATCTAGAAATCTGTCCATTTCTTTAAGATTTTCAAATTTATTTGCATATAGTTTCTCAAAGTAATCTCTGATGATTTCCTGGACTTCCATGGTGTTTGTTGTTATCTCCCCTTTTGCATTCCTGATTCTACTAATTTGGGTTTTTTCTCTCCTCATTTTAGTTAGGTTTGCCAGGGGTCTGTTGATCTTGTTTATTTTTTCAAAGAACCAACTTTTTTTTTCATTAATCCTTTGTATGTTTTTTTTGGTTTCTATTTCATTGATTTTAGCTCCTATTTTTATTATTTCTCTCCTTCTATTTGTTTTGGGATTTGCTTGTTCTTATTTTTCTAGGAGTTTGAGATGTATCATTAGGTCATTGATTTGGGATCTTTCAATCTTTTTAATATGTGCACTCATGGCTATAAACTTTCCTCTCAGGACTGCCTTTGCTGTGTCCCATAGGTTCCGGTAGGTTGTGTTTTCATTTTCATTGACTTTTCAGGAACTTTTTAGTTTCCTCTTTTATTTCATCAATGACCCATTGTTCATTAAGTAATGAGTTATTTAGTTTCTAGCTGTTTGCATGTTTTTTGTCTTTACTTTTGTTGTTGAGTTCTACTTTTACTGCATTGTGGTCAGATACTATGCACGGTATAATTTCTATTTTGTTATATTTGCTGAGGCTTGCTTTGTGCCCTAGGATATGATCTATTTTGGAGAAGGTTCCATGGGCTGCTGAGAAGAATGTATATTGTGTAGAAGTTGGATGAAATGTTCTGTAGACATCAATTAGGTCCATTTGATCTATTGTATATTTTAGATCTTGGATTTCTTTATTGATTTTTTGTTTGGATGACCTATCTATTGATGATAATGGGGTGTTAAAGTCTCCCACAACCACTGTGTTGGCGTTTATATATGCTTTTAGGTCTTTCAGGGTATGTTTGATGAAATTGGGTGCGTTGACATTGGATGCATACAGGTTGATGATTATTATTTCCTTTTGGTCTATTTCCCCTTTTATTAGTATGGAATGTCCTTCTTTATCTCGTTTGGTCAATGTAGGTTTGAAGTCTACTTTGGCAGAGATAAGCTGCTACTCCTGTCTGTGTTCGGGGGCCATTGGCTTGGTAAATCTTCTTCCAGCCTTTCATCCTAAGCCTATGCTTATTTCTGTCGGTGAGATGGGTCTCCTGTAAGCAACAAATTGCTGGATCTTCCTTTTTAATTCATTTTGTCAAGCAGTGTCTTTTGATGGGTGAATTAAGTCCGTTAACATTAAGCATTAGTACTGATAGGTATGTGGTGATTCCTGTCATTTAGTGTCTTAGTTGTTTGAAGGTTTGATTGTGTGTACCTAAGTTGAGGTTATTCTCTACTTTCTTGCTTTTTCTTTTCCTGTGGTTTGGTGCTGCCTGTCTTTTCATGGTTAAGGTGGGTTTCAGTTTCTGTGTGCAGAATCCCTTGAAGAATCTTTTTTTTTTGGTGGCTTTGTGGTCACATATTGTTTTAGTTTCTGCTTATCATGGAAGACTTTTATTGCTCCATCTATTTTGAATAATAATTTTGCTGGGTAGCGTATCCTGGGGTTGAAGTTATTTTCATTCAGTGCCCAGAAGATCTCACCCCACGCTCTTCTTGCTTTTAATGTTTCTGTTGAGAAGTCTGCTGTGATTTTGATGGGTTTACCTTTGTATGTTATTTGTTTTTTCTCTCTTACAGCCTTCAATATTCTTTCCCTAGTTTCTGAACTTGTTGTTTTAATGATGCTATGTCGTGGGGTAGTTCTATTTTGATCTGGTCTGTTTGGTGTCCTGGAGGCCTCTTGCATCTGTATGGGAATATCTTTCTCTAGATTTGGGAAATTTTCTGTTATTATTTTGTTGAATATATTATGCATTCCCTTCACTTGCACCTCTTCTCCTTCATTGATGCCCATGATTCTCAAGTTTGGTCTTTTGATGGAGTCGGTGAGTTCTTGCATTTTCTTTGCACAGGTCTTGAGTTGTTTAATTAATAGTTCTTTGGTTTTTCCTTTAATTACCATTTCATCTTCAAGTTTTGAGATTCTGTCTTCTGTTTGTTCTATTCTGCTGGATTGGCCTTCCATTTGTTTTGCAGTTGTGTTTCATTCTTTTTTCTGAGGTTTTTCCATATCCTGGGTCATTTCCTCTTTAACGTTGTCTATTTTTGTCCTCAGTTCATTTATCTGTTTATTAATCATGTTCTCTGTTTCACTTTGGTGTTTATACAGTGCTTCTATGGTTTCCTTTATTTCTTCTTTTGCTTTTTCAAATTCTCTATTTTTGTTGTCTTGGAATTTCTTGAGTGTCTCCTGTACATTTTGGTTGACCATATTCAGTATCATCTCTATAAAATTCTCATTGAGTACCTGTAGTATGTTTTCTTTTAAATTACTCTTGTGGGCTTCATTGAGTTCTTTGGCATAGTTTATCTTCATTTTGTTGGAGTCTGGATCTGAATATCTGTTTTCTTCATTCCCCTCTGGTTCCTGTACTAATTTTTTGCTGTGGGGAAACTGGTTTCCCTGTTTTTTTTGTCTTCCCGTCATTGTCTTTGGTGTTGTTACTGTCCCTGTACTGTGTGCAATTAAGTATTTTCTAGCTTGTAATAATAACAATGGTGATATTTAGAATGGAAGGGTGAGAGGAGATGGAAAGCAAAGAAGTTTAAAAAAGGGAAAAACAAATAAACAGACAAGTAGGAAAAAATAAAACAAAGAATCAACCAAAAAAGTTTCAAAGATATAAACAGGGAGCGTTACTGTACTAATCGACTACTGTCCTCGTCTTCCCAAGCCGTCTGGGCACGGGCGACTGGCAGCCCGGGGGCCCTCCTGGTTTCTCCGTTTAACGTGAAGTGGAGGTTCTCTGTGCTGGCTGGAGGTGTGGAGGGGTCAAAGTTTTTCTTCTTCTCAGTGGTTTTACCTGCAAGTTGCGTCTCCAGTGTCTCTCCAAGATTTTACTATAGGAGGCATGCTTTCTGCTTCCTCCCTCTAGCCGCCATCTTCTAATTCCTTATTTAGATAAATTCTAACTTTTGTTCTTCTAAACAAGGCTGTAATGAACAATGGCTAGTTCCTGATTATGTCTTTGAAATACATTACCATAATTTCTAGAAGTGAAAGTATTAGATCATGAGCATTTTGAAGGCTTTGCTACTGGGGTGTGGAGTGGTAACCCTTCATTCTGACTGCTCCTCCCTCTTTCCTTCCTTCATTCCTTTTTCTTTTTCTTTCTCCATCTCTACCCCTCTTTTTTTTCCCATAGCAACTCAGCTGGGTCTCTAAAACATGAGTTGTGTTTAAGAAATTGTGTTTCCCCAGGTGTTTATGCCATAAAGTGATACTAGGCTGTTGGGGGAGAGGGGTGGGCATTACTGACAAAGCAAGGATAACCACAATAATGTAAGTGCTCTTGAGGTAACTAGTACCTATTCTCTCACAGCCTCCTGCCTGCCTTACGTTCCAGAAAAAGGAACCGTTGGTGCCAGTGGAGACCTTGCACCTCTCTCTCATCTTGCTCTTGGGCTAATTGGAGAAGGGAAGATGTGGTCTCCAAAGAGTGGATGGGCTGATGCTAAATATGTAAGACTTCTATAACAACTTCCATTGACAGTGATTTCCCTAGGCTGGACCCTGGGGATTCTTGCATACTTTATGTCACTGGATGTTTACAACAGCCCAGTGAGGGAGCCACTGCTATCCTTATGTGACAGATGAGACAACCAAACTTGGAAGTCAAACTAGGCAAGGTCATTACCTTCCATACTTGAATGTCAACCTCCAGGGTTTGGGGATCGCCATGGTGGAAAGGTATAGCTATTAGTGTTAATCTATAGAATTTATTCTGGAAATAAATTTATTTTATTCTCAGAATGTATTTTTTATCCACAAAACTGCCAGTGACCATGTGGAAGGCCACTCTCTGTCCTATATCCTCCAGTAAGGACATGCCCCTTCTTCATGCAGCCTATATGATTATTTTTCCTTTGCACCCTTCTTCCACAAGATTACTCTTTGTAATCTTATAATCTACAACATAAGATTGCTCTACCTGCCCCTGAGCTTGTCTGTCTCCATATTTCCTGCCCTCAGCCCAAGCCCAATATCCCAAGTAGAATCTGGCAGGTGATAGGTACTTAAGTCTTCTTGTGAAATGGACAAAGATAAGTGGTACTGGCTCTGCCTTCCTCCTCCTTTAACTCCCTTTCCCTCTTCACTAAAGGAGCCCTAACTTGGTGACTCCTTCCTTTTATTTCAGGGGAAGACTATTCTTCCTCTTTCCTCTCAGCATTCTGTCTCCACCCAGTAGAGGGGATTCCTTTTCGTTGCAGTACACACACTTGTCACCCAAGCGCTGCTCTGAGATTCTGCCAAGGATAGAGAAAGCAGAAGGGAGGATGGAGGACTTTTTAGGTCAACTCTAGAGGCAGAAGCATATAGACAGACAGCCAAGAGCACAGCCTTAGCCCAGTGCATGTACGGCAGGAACCAGCAATAAAAAAGGTATGACAGACACCGGAAAGAAAAAAATGTGAGTCACAAAGGAGGAAACTGAATCCAAAGGATGTAGAAACTAAAATTGATCCTGTAGACAATAGAGCCCAGGTTTAAGTCCAAAAGTTACTTGAAAAATAAGTCTGCTTTCAGACAGAAGAGAACTAGAGACCAGACTAAAGAACATGATCAGAATCAATTCATGTGGATCTAATCTTTTATAAGCTGGACCTTTGGCCCTAAAAATCTTTTACTGGATTCCATATGAAATCAGAAACAGGCTAGTACTTTATTTGATACCACTTTCATGCTTTTAATCATTCCACAGGTCCTGGAAGCCCACGGGTTGAAACCAGTTGTTTTGAAACCAAAAGAGGTAATGAGATACAAGGAAAAATTGTTCATATCACGAAGTCTTTATGCATGGACTGTTTTCGGTCTTCATATCACTCTCACTGGTTCATTAAGACATATGTAACTTATGTGTTTGCTGAAAGTTGCTCACTGAAGAAAGGGTCTGTCCACGAGCAGTTCAAAGAGTCTTTACACTACAAATGCTTAAGGGTTCTTTTAGGAACTTAAACTTCAAATCCAGTTCTCTAAGTTTTCCTATGAGATATTCTCAGTCAAGGTCTCTTAAGATGTTCTAAGCCAAAAGGCTTGGACCACAATTATTTGAGGATACCTTGTCTACAATGGTGAAAAATTAAAGAAGAAACGAAGCATAATAAAGAAGTAAAGATTGCTTGTGCAATCTATACACCAGAGCTACATGACTGCCTTGAGAATGGGGGCAGTCAACAGGTATTCAGCTTGCCAGATTTGTACTAGCAAATTCACCTATGATGCAATTATTATTAGTAGCAGTAGTTTGCAGTACTGGGGTTTGAACTCAGAGCCTCATGCTTGCTAGGCAGTGCTCTACCATTTGAGCCACTCTGCCATCCCCTTAGGATGGCAATTATTTGTCAAGTGCTTTAAATAAGCATGACAGCCCACACTTTAGAAAACTTGTATGCAAATAGTTCAGCTGACGCTAATTTTTCTTTTACAGAAGCAAAAGATATGAAGCCCACTTGGCTATACGTTTGTTATAATAAATACGGTGGGAAACTTTTCTCTCCCTTCCCAAAGGGCCTGGCGCTCATCAATGGGACACAGATGATCACCTCCCTAGGCTGTGAAGCTGTGGAGAGAGCCAGTGCTATTGCCCGGCAGGCTGACATCGTGGCAGCTCTGACGCTTGAGGTGCTGAAGGGCACCACCAAAGCTTTCGATACCGGTCAGCATGATTCTTCCTTTCGGTTGATTATTTAGCCAGAGCTAGTGGGGCAAGTTGGTTGAGGTCTTTAGGTACAGAAGTGGGGAGGGGGGCGGTGAGTGGTAGAGAACAAAGAGTAAATCCAGATGGCAGTAGTTTCCCAGTACTGCTACCACTTCATCAAAGTTCTGCCACACTTGATCCTTGCAACAAACACATTTTACAGACAGACACTGACCTCGAGAGTTAAGTAACCTGCTCCAGGTCACTCAGTGGTCTGGATCACCCAAAATATCTGTCAAATTAGGTGTTGTTTTAGGAGTCTGTTTGCAGCACTTTAAAACTAGACTAGGATTAGGATTATTCTAGTTAGAAAATTAGGAGAGAAAAGCTATAGAAGTTTATCTAAAAGTAGTGAATTTCAAAGATTCCCTACTATATTAACAAAGAGGGCAGAAAGCTTTCCAAAAATGACTGAGTTAAATGAGGCCACTATTCCAGCTCCCTGTGATCATCAGGGAGTTCATTTAAAGGTAGCCTAGTATCTTAAGTTCAAGTCCTAGTGTGCCAGACACATGGTTTGCCTTTGGAATTAAGCTTCAATTGTGAGTGGTGGCTAAGGGCCCCTGGGACTGTTGAGGCCCATGCTAGCACCTGAATGCTCCTGCTCTCTCAAACGTAAACCTTTTTGTCTGCCTCAATTCTAGACATTCACACTGTTCGCCCTCATCGTGGACAAATTGAAGTTGCTTTTAGGTTTCAGTCACTCTTGGACTCAGATCACCATCCGTCAGAAATTGCAGGTGTGGGCATGTTTATATAAATGAGTTTGTTTGATTCTTTGTTCTGTGAGGAGATCAGTAATTTGTTCCTTCTCCCACCTCCTCCACAGAAAGTCACAGGTTCTGCGACCGTGTGCAGGATGCATACACCTTGCGCTGCTGTCCACAGGTAAAAACAGAAAACCAGCAAAAGTTCTTTTCTTTTCCCAAGTTTCAGGGAGAAAAATAGAAAAAGAGGAAAGTGTTAGAAAATTATGATGTGACCAAGCATAATTCAAATTTATTTACTGCCTTTATTAAAATTATGTACATTTTATCTCCATTTCTCCAATTATTATAAACTTTTATTTTATTCTATGTGCTAAATTATTTGGGGTTTGTTGGGTTTTTTGTTTGTTTGTTTTGCAGTACTAGGGTTTGAAATCAGGGACTTGTGTTTGCTAGGCAAGAACCCTACTACTTGAGCCACATCCGTGTCCTATCAGAGCCCAACAGAAAATTTGTTATCCTGATTTAGTGCAACAAATAAATGGAGTTACAAGAGTCTTACTGGTTCTCCCTGTTAGACAAAACTGGAACCAGCAAGTCAAGGATATTCCCAGGGAAGTCTTCTTGTGTCTTTCAAAATTCAGGTGTCTATTCATGAATATACCTTATCTGCATTTTAATAATCAGATATAAATTACTATCGGTCTGGAAAGCTTAACTTTAAATAAAAGTGCAGATGAGCTGGATTGGCATTAGGCATCCTGTATTACATCTAAGTCATTTACTTAACTGATTGAAAGATTAAAAGGTATCTCTAGAAATAAAATGTCAGCTTGTGCCAAGGTCTAGTCTAGAGTATAATACAGAATCCTCCCTAGAGTAAATATCCTCATTTCCTTTTTCTCAACAAGTCCTATTCTAACTAGCTAATTAAACAATAGTTGAATCCCAGCACTTGGATGGAGAGTTCAAGGTCAGCCTGGGTTACATAGTGAGACCCTATCTCAAAAAATCAACCAAACAAACAACAATAGCTCAAAACATATGCCAAATTAATTGTACTGTAAGAATAAATCCTGGCTTAATACCTCCCTGATACAATAAGGATAATAGCCAACTGTATGAGACAGGTACAATTAGCAATGTCTTCCATATTCATTAAATTTTCTTAATTTTCCCAACTATAGGATAGGTAGTTTCTCCCACTTTGCAGTTGGAAACTGGTGAACAGAATTAAGAACTTTACCTAAGATCACACAGCTAGATCTTTATTTCCTTAACTTCTGGGAGAAGCCAGAAGGTAGGCAAGGCTGTAAAGCCCTGTGGCTGTCCCTTGGTAGTGTCTGCCTTACGGTGGGTATCGTCTCATCTTCTTATATTTTGATACCTTTTGTTTGGGTAATAGCTATCATCTGAATGATCTCTGTGAATCATGTTTGAGACTTTCCTGCATTATGTTATTTACTTATCACAAGCTATAAGGTAACATTCGTTGTCTGCTTCTAAGTCCATTTCTTTTTCTACTCTAAACATTAAGTGACTTGGCCATGACCTACCACTACCATAAGTGAAGCACCCTGTGTCTAGAGATGACATCCTTTCTCCTATACAATGCTGTTTTGTAAACCAATCTAATGTAAATCCATATTGCAATGAATTTATTCTAATTTGTTTCAATAAGAACCCAAATCTATCAAAGTTGTTTTTGTATTCTAAGCACCAAGTATATTTTTCATGGTTATAACTGCAAGGAAGTTTCTGGATGAAAACTGAAGATGCTATCTTATAAGGATATTGGCATCCTTACTAGACTCTATTAGTCATGTATCTTATTTTGACTGTGTTTTAGGTCCACGGTGTGGTGAATGACACAATAGCATTTGTAAAGAACATCATTACCACAGAATTGAACAGTGCAACAGACAATCCTGTATCTTTTGAATCTACTAATTTGCAATAACAGAACTCCAGCTGGTAATTTTAGGCTCTGCCTAACAATCCTCTGTTTGAGCATTTCAGCTCTGTTACTCCATTCCATAGATAAATAAACAGTCCCTGAAGCTCAGAAGTTAGTGGATTTCTCCATGCCAAAATGGTAAGTGGCAGAATCAGGCCTGTGAATCAGCTGTCAGGTTCTGAATTTAACATGTGGTGCTTGAGAGATTAAAGAAGGCATGTCCAGCACTGGCTGAGCTGTTTCATGACTACATTGGTCCTAAAACCCACCACTGAAGTTGGTGGTGGAGGGATGAAGACCCATGTCACAAACATAATTGCACAGAGACTGGTAGATTGGCCTTCATTTGTGCAGCCTCACTGGTTCTGGAGGGAGGGAGAAAGCATTAAACAGAAGACTTACCAAAGCATTATCAGAAAGTTATGGTTTCCCCATCCCCAGTTTTATTTCTGATGTGGACTTTCCTGAAGTCAGTGCTTCCATATTTGTGCAAAGAATAAGAATGATTCCATTTCTCAAGGAGGGAACTCTTTTTTCCTTAATGGGGTGGCTTGTCGCAGAGCCATCTGGTTTTTGCTATGGAATGTTTATGACCACTTTGAGGTGATCAGCCAGGGCTGCAGTCTTCACAGAGACAACACTGTCTTTGAAGACCACCAAGCCCTTTGGGAATCTGTTCTTCCCCCTCTGTCCCTACCTTCATTCTAAGCACTGAAAGAAGTGCTAAGATAGCAGCCCTGGAAGCAGCTCACAGCCTGGATTAGCAGATGACTACCCAGGAGCTATGCCAGCTTTCTCACAACACGTTTTTTAGTGTATCTTTTCTGACAACCTATTTTCAGATGTATGTTTTACATTCTCTCAGACTGCTTCATAGCTAATTCAAACCATGCTAAATAATCCTCAGGATTGCAGATCTCCCAACTCACCAATGCCACCCAACTCTCCAAACAGAATAGTGGCTTTCATGAGGTAGTCTTACCTTATGAATCCATTCTTGCACCATAGAACAGACCTTAAATTTAGATCTTAAAGGCCATCTTATATAGTTTATTTAAAAATCACCATTGAATTATTGGCTATGGGGGAGGGGAAGTTATTCCCTACTAAATGTTCCTTCTACTATTTACCCCAGCATGAATTTCAGCCAAAACTCCTTTATTATCTCAATGAAAGAGTCTTAATTATGGATAAGTCTTCAATGGACTAACATTTGGGAGTTCTCTTACAATACTGATCTTACCTGAAGAACATGTTTCTCAGTTTTCTATTGCAAGTAGTACACCTATTACATAAAGCTGGGTGTTATAGGAGTTAAAGTCTAATTACTGTAATCCAATAGCCAATAAACAATTAGAGGACAACAGAACATATTTAAGTTCAAAACTGGTACAGAGATCATTTGCTACAGGGATTCTTTTTTGAGAAATCATATTTTTGTTATACCAGGTATACACTGTGACCTTTACAAAAGTGCTTACAATATATCTCAGTTGAATTCACCCCTCCATCATTCTCCTTTATCCCTTCTTCCCCATTCATAGAATAGTTTCAACAGGTTTCATCTTTCCATTTTCATAACATGAGTACATAGTATTCCCACCATATTCACTTTCCTATACCCGTTCCCTAGGTCTTCCCTCCTCCCACTGGTATCAACTCCCCTGACAGAACCTGTTTTGGATTCTGAGGACAGAAAGAAGACCAAGGTGGGTGGGGCAGGTTCATGGAGAAGAACAGGAGTGAGGCCTAATAGGTCCATGGTTACATGCACAGAAAGTCACTCCAAACTTGACTAAGTTAATGTAACATGTGCATCTCAGATGTAGAAACTTTCTCACACACAGTGAATTTCTCAGTTATAATAGGTAGTGAATACAGTTTTCCGTCAGTGTCTGTGGGGGATTCCAGACCCTCCCCTTACAGATTCCCAAATCTTTGTATTTCACGTACTTCATATGAAGCAGCATAGTGTCTACAGATAACTTGTGCATATCCTTCTGTATAGTTTAAATCATTGCAAGACTACTTATGACACCTAACACAACATAAGTGCCATATAAATAGTTGTTACACTCTATTACTTAGGGAATAATAACAAGAAAAAAGTCTATACATGTTCAGTACAGACACAATTTTTTCCTGAATATTTTCAATATCAGATTGGTGAACTCATAGATGCAGAAACTGTGGATATGAAGGGCTGGACTTTAGCCCAGTAGGTGAAAATTATCTTTTAGACCCAGGAAGGAAGATCTGTTACTGCCTTTGCTTGGGTGCCTTCTGGATTAAGTAAAGTGTATCATAGAGATCAGAATGACCTCTGAGAGTGATATTCAATAAGTCTAAAGCTGCCTCCTACTTAAATGGATTTTTGAGAACCTATGGCTGCCATCTGTTGTAGATTGCTGGTACACTACCGTTGAGTATAGAGTTGCAAATGTTCCCAGCACTGATTGTTCTAGACATTTTGGTGGCTATACATCAGCAGAGTCTTCCATTCAACAGGTTTTCCTATGGAGCACAAGCTCACAGTGCCCATTGAAAAAATAGAATTGGCTTTCAAACAGGTCTCCTGGTGGTCTTTATTCTTAATTTCAGTCTAGAAACTTTTTGAATGCAAGTATCAATCACCAGATTAGTACAGTTAAGAGACTTGAGAATCTCTGATCTTAAGAGAAAATACCATTTCATGTTCCATGCTTCTTTGGCTCCTAATTAGGTGTACCTAATTTGTCTTTAATGTTGTTTTTTTTGTTTTGCTTTTGTGCTCTTTTATGTCAACAACTGCTTAAGAAAAGACCCTTCTCTTTCCCTTGATCTCACATTTGTACAAAGACTGCCACTTCAGTGTGAAAAATAAGCAGGTAGGGGCCAGAGTTACTCTGGAAGTGATCAGCAAGTGTTGTTCTCAAGCCTTAACCTGTTTTGAAAGATGGTCTTTGCCAGCAGGGGAGAGACAATTTCTGGAGGAAACTTCCATGGTGAATACCCCGCCAAAGTAAGCTTTAAAAATTGCTCCCAACCCCAAAAGTGTATTCCAGTAGAAGCCAACTGATTGAGGCATCCTTTCAGGCCCTGGACTATTTGGCCATTGGTGTTCATGAGCTTGCTGCGATTAGTGAAAGAAGAATTGAAAGGCTTTGTAATCCCTCCCTCAGTGAGCTGCCTGCCTTCCTGGTGTCAGAAGGTGGTCTGAACTCTGGCTTCATGATAGCCCACTGCACAGCTGCAGCCCTTGGTAAGGACCCTTCCCTGTTCCTATAACAGAAGACTGTCCATCAAAGGGCTTGTCCATTTTACCTGAAAGCATCCAATTTTGCCTTTGAATGAGATCTCACCTTTCACTACTTTTATTTGTACCTTACCTCTCTAGTACTTACTGGAGCAGGTTGACTATTAACACTTTTTAGAAAAAATAAAAACTAAACAATGCAATATTAAAATATAACAATACGATAATGAGGTTGTAAATAGATAAATTGCTCTATGGAAAGCAATTCGACATTACATTTGAACTTCATCTTGAAAGCTTTATTTCCAAATCCAAAAAATAACTAAAGGAAAAAAGGCTGGGGGTGTGGCTCAAATGGTAGAACACTTGCCTAGCAAGTGTGAGGCCATGAGTTCAAACTTAGATACCATCAAAAAAAAAAAAAAAGGGCAACATGCCCTCCAGATATTGTGCTTTAATATAGCTGATTTCTGACTTGAGGTTGCAAGGGACTGATAAGTAATACATCAGAACAGTGCCTGTCACAAAGTGAGTGCTCAGGACCTTGCTTATGTCTGCTCACTTAGTCATGACAACAATATCACGCTATTACTATCGCCATTTCACGGGTAAATACTGGAACACCTGAGAAGAGAAGTGACTTGCCCACCATTGCACTGACATCTGTCAGTCAGATGTAGAGCAGTATTCTAAGCTAGACATTTTGGCTTCCAAATCTGTGTTCTTATTTCAATGAATGAGGATCTCATTCTAATCAATATTGAGTCCTAAAATTGAGTTGCCAAATTTAGCAAACAAAAATGTAGGATGCCCAGTTAGATTTGAATTATTTGGAGCATATTTGTACTAAAAAAGATTACTTTTTTTTTCTATCAGAAATCCAAACTTAACCTGGGGTCCTATATTTAACAATTCCACCTCAAAAGATAGGACATGGTAGTTAATTAAACTCACCAAAGCTGGATCTGAATCCCAGCTCTGCCACTTACTAACAGTGTCATTGTCATGCCAAGTCTGTCCCTCTTTTTTTTGGTGGTACTAGGGCTTGAACTCTGGGCCTCATGCTTGCTAAGCAGGCATTCAACCAGAGCCACTCCGCCATCCCTCTTTTTTGGTTAGTGTATATTAAATGTACAAAGGAAGGGGTTTCATTATGACATTTCTATATCAAATCTCTTAATTCTATAATCCTCAGTTTACCCCTGCTTAAAATGAAGATGATAAATTTGCCTAATGAGGCTGTTTTGAGGATTAAATGAACAGATACATATAAAGCCTAGAACTGTGCTTGGTACACCATGAGCACTAAATGAATATTAGTTACTATTAATAATAACATTCTTAAGCCCTTCCTTATCCAAGCTTCTCACTAAAACCTAACACAAATAACCAACAAGAGCCATTGGATTCACCTTCTTCTCTAACCCAGTATCCTCTGTCCCCCTTACTTGCTTATTAGAACACCCTTTAACACAGAGACTTCTCTCTGTAACACAGTAGTAGAGGGAACAGCAGCTGATTTCAAGATAATATTATGGATATTAGGAAGACTGGTTTGAAAGCATTTAGCTTCCCAAGCTGCCAGTTGAAGTTGTACAGCTTGCTTTCTTAATGAAAATATTATATTTTTATTATTTACTTATTTATTTATCTATATTTTTTGGCCACTTATAAGTTGTCTTTCTGAAAAAGCCTCACCGCAGGGTGCTGGTCAATGTAGGCCCTCAGTTTAGGGTGCCAAAACCTGGAAAGTCCTGGATTAACCAGGATTTCTGGTCACCCTAGTTTAAATCTGGCTCCCTTGCAAGTTAGGATCCCTTATAGCATAGAAAAGAACCAAAGCTGTCCTCAAGGTCACTGGAAGAGGAGAAAAAACTGAATTTGTACTTTTCTGGCTTCTGAACCTGGGGACAAGGAACTTGGGAATCTAGGTCCTTGCTACGTAAAGTATAAAACCCATAGAACTTGGATCAACAATGTGGTGTCATCCGGGAGCCTGTTAGAATGGTAGAATCTCAGGCCCCACCCCAAACTCAGTATCTGCATTATAACAAGATCCCTGGGACATTAGTGTGCACAGTCAGGTTTGAGAGGTCCCGGTGTAGGATTCCCCTTGCATCCCAGAGATATCTCTGGTCATCATCATGTCTTTGCTTAAAACCAGATGACCTCCTTGTGTCATGTTGAACAGCCTGAACTGCTAAATCTTACCCAAGATCTGTAGGTCCAGCCTCAGTCCTGAAATGCCACACCTGAATTCTAATCCAACCTGTCTGCTAATATAATCAAATTGTACCTGATTACCTGAACTTAGCCATGGTGCTCTTTTTCCCCCGCCAAGTCTCCCTGGCATGATAAATGCTCCCAGTGTTCTCAGTTGACCTTGTAACATGAGGGCTTCCAAATCTTCAGCTCCATCTTATCTCACAGCTCACTAGAGCTTTAGAGTCCTTATCACGTGGGAAGAAATCGACTTTCTCCCTTTCCCCAAAGTAACTTTGTACCAGTTGGTGCTTGGACCACAGTCAAGAGCTCCTAAAGAGGCTCTTCCGTGCTGTGGCGCTTTTGGGGAAGCCACTGGCCATGTTGGCAGTTATCCAAGAGCACTTCCTCACTCACATTGGTCTCTTGCAGTTTCTGAGAACAAGGCTCTGTGCCATCCCTCGTCTGTAGACTCTCTCTCCACCAGTGCTGCCACAGAGGACCATGTCTCCATGGGAGGCTGGGCAGCCAGGAAAGCCCTCAGGGTCATCGAGCATGTGGAACAAGGTAAGACTAGCAAATCCGGGATGACAGGCCTCACTGATGCACTACTGTGCTAGTGATTCTCAAAATGGGGTCTCCACTGGCAACATCCTCATCAGCTGGGACCTCATTAAAAATGCAGGTTCTTAGGCCTCCTCCTCTGGTTTTCTGCCGAACCAGAAACTCTAGGGGGACAAGGAAACAAGCTGTGTTTCAAGAGTCTCCTGGAAGATTCCAATGAGGATTAAAAATTAAGAACTACTTAGAAATAACCTGGCTCCTGGGCTGGCTTTTTTTTTTTTCTTTTAATGACACTGTCAAAGAATAATGAAAAGTAGAGACAAGTGCACCAGGAACCCTCGCACACATCACCGTAGTTCACGTTTACTCCATTGTTTTCAAGTACATTCCCAATATCTTATCATTTTATTCTTTCATACTTCTTAAATATGACTGCTTTCTTGTCTTCCAGGATGCCATCATAGCATCCAACAAAATTTGTATCATCACCAAATATACATTCAAAATTTCCCAGTTATCATATTTCAGTGCTGTCCAAACCAGGACTTGAGAGCCACACTTTTTGGTTTTCATGACTTTAAGCTTCTTTTTCTCTAGAACAGTACTTCATCCTTCTTTTCTTTCCTTCATGCCTTTGACTAGTTGAAAAACCAGGTTAGTTTTTCTGTAGGGAGACTGAGGCTCCATAGTTACCTGTTATTTTCTTTGTGTCACTTTTAATTTGTTCCTTGTCCCAGTTGTTTCCTATGCATTGCACTTGGTCCTAAATACTTGCTAAGATTTAGGTTCAATCTGTTTGACAAAGACACCTCACAGGAAGAGCTGTCTCTGCCTTCTTTATTGAAGGCTTTTGATTGCTTGTTTGTATGTTCTTTTTGTTTTGTTTTGTTTTTGTTTTTGGTGGTATTGAGGATTGGACTCAGGGCCTTGTGCTTGCCAGATAGTTGTTAAATCACTTGAGCCACTTCCCCAGCCCCCAACCTCTTTTCTTTTTCAGATAGGGTCTCACACGTTTGCCTGGAAATCCTCAAACCATGATCCTTCTACTTCCACCTCCCACATACCTAGAATTATAGGCATGCACCACTATATCCAGCCTTTGTTTTGTTGTTGTTTTTAAGAAAAAAATCACTATCCTTGGAACATTGTCCTCTAAGTTTCTAAGTTTATGCAATAGTGTGTATTGAATGATCTGCTCCAAGTAGATGGGTCCAGTGATTTGTGCAGTCTGAAGTATAAATAGGAGCCATCATCATCCAGCCAGCATTATCCATCATCATCCAGCCAGAATTCCCAAGCCACTCTGTGCAGTGATTTTTATACACATACAGACAAAAGTGGCATCCAGTCAAGTTATTATATCTATTGAACATGCAAGCTCAGTTATTAGTTCCATAACTAGTTGTCCTTGGGTGGTTACATAGCAACAATATCACTAGCTCTATATCGAGTGTGCCTGCTATTGATCATCTCTTGATAGGCCTGGAATACCTACAACAGAGGCTGGCACAGATTTATCACTCAAATATTTACATGACAATAAAGTTGGCACTATCAGTCCAAATGGTAGATCTGGCTCATCCAGCATTGCTCTCTCTATTTATATCAAGAAAGTGCAATTGGCAACAAACAAAATTGAACCAGCAGCTTATATTACAAGCATGTTTATTACTCAAGTCTGTTTTGATTACAGATGTTTAATAAATATCTGTAAGTCTTGGAATCCAGTGGTGTGAGTTATAAAATATAAGATAAGAACCTGTGTATCACAGCACCTAGTGATTAGTCTTTGTACAGGTAATGAGTATGGGGAAGAGACTAGTTTCACCTGGTTGGGGTGAAAAGGCATCTACTTGCTGAGCACAGTGGATTGAACAGTAAATGAGATGTACCTGGCTTCTGTCCTCCTGGAAACAAGTCTATACAGAGAAGCAGACATTGGACAATTTGGCAATTCTATAGCACTTAACAAAATTCTTACTAAAGAACAGAAGGGAGGAGAATGTAATTGAACCTGATCTAGTCTGGAGGGACCAGAAAAGGCATATCCAGAGGATTACCAAAGATCAAAACCTGAACAACACATATGGCCAACTAGTTGTGTGTGTATATGTGTGTGTGTGTGTGTGTGCACATGCAGAACAAATTTTACAGGGGAAAGAAAGGAGGGGTGTGCACAAAATACATTGCTTTGGGATGCATTGAGGTGGAGACACAAGACATCCAAGTGCAAGTGCCAAAGCTCAGGCAAGAGCTGGGATTGAGGATGAAAGTCAGCACTCTCTGCATGGAAGTAGTTGAAGGCTGTTGAAGACAAGAACAGCAGTAGCAGAGCCTTGAGGGACAGTTGCACTGGGGAGGAAGAGGACCTAGAATACAATGGCCAGATATAGCAAGGTGGGAAACCTTTGCAAGAGACCATCCTCAAGGGCTCAGGGTGGCAGAGATCTGGAGGGAAGGAAGGAGATGCAAGGTCAAGGGAAGCAGTCTTTTCTTAGTGACAGGAACACAAGTATAAATTAGCCTTGAACAGAGTTCAAATTTTAAAACTCTGAGAACATATTTGCAATGTAGCTAAGTATAACATATATTTGCAACATCTCTAAGTAGGAATGTTATTTATTTGCTTAGGATAGTTTTCACTTAGTGAATTACACTGTTAAGATGAAAAAAATAATCATTTAAAACTAGAAGGTGTTTCTGTGTTTCTTTAGATATTTTCAGTGTGTTAAAAATATCTTTGAAGTGTATTAGATTATAGGATATCAGCTTATTTCAAAATGAGAGCTATAAAAAAAAGCATCAGCTAAACCCCTTGAATTCATAAAATGAGGTGTGTGGCTTTTTAAGTCTCAGTTGGTAAGTTTAGTAAGTTTAGGGAGAACTGTTAGTTATGGATAGCAAAATGTTGCAGAAGTGTTTCGTGTTTCATGTTTCTCTTGCAAATATTTACTCCCCAGTTTTTCTTTGACTTTGACATCTATCAGATTGCCCTTCTTTTGTGGTAACATCATATCGCTAACATGTATGGAATATTTTCAGCCTTGTAACTCATTAATCTGCAACATAACCCTAGAAAGTGTGTACTTTTGTCCCATTTTGTAGATCAGGAACTCGAAGGAGAGGTTAAGTAATATGTCCAAAGTTAGACAGTTTTAATACCAGTGCTGGTATATAATTCCAGGTGGTTGGTTCAAGTCCATCGTCCTAGCTACTGATACAAATAATGAACTGGCATCCTCGTGCCTCATCAGATCTCCATTTAAAGGATGTTCCATACAGGCTTCTGTGAAAATTGTCCCAGAATGAATTTCTGTAACTCGAGAGTGTGTGATTTGAATCATATCTTTGTAATACTTGTAAAGTTGGAAGTTGAGCAATGAGGTAGTTAATTTGGCAGGTTTTTAGTTTGTTGGCTTTAGATGAAAAAAATCTCTTTCTTACCCATCAACTCCCACTTCTTGGATCAAGATGAATGATAACCGTTTCCTATTTCCAGTTTTATGTACATTTCACATTTTTAGTCTTACATTCCCTTTGACTTGAGATACCTGGTACATGGCCTCTCATCAAAGGTTTGGAGGAGCCAGTAGGTGACCAAGTGGCTGTCTTGGAACTAATTCTATAATGTCTATTTCAAGTCTTCAAATTTAAAGGCTCCCAAGTCCACTAAAACTGAAATTGTACAAGTGCATATCTTGCCAACTTTAAGTTTCTCCATAAAATAATCTGTGTACAGTGTTTCTTAGCTAAAAAAACTCTTATTAAATGTACCATACCTTGCAATACACTTTGTTGAAATCTACATTTCTCTATATTTGATACTAAATTATAAAGAATTTTTATAGAAATATAAGATCAAACAATTCTAGATTGCATTATTTGACAAGAAAATAGTTTGGAAGCTTAAGGTCAATCAGACCATTTAAGGGGTTAACTCAAATTGAGAGTTAAAAACACCGGACTTCTTGTCTTTCCATATAAGAAGCATGTGAAGAATTCTGGCGAGTACAGAAAAGTCACAGTGGGAGGGGATGAAGAATCCATTGTGGACCCGGAAGAAAGTCACGTGTTCTAGTCCGATGCCTCACTTCATACACACGGAGTTGGAAACTGAGAAGTAAAGCATCTTAGTTAATAGGCTGGACTCCATGTCATGGTTGGGTATTCATTCTGAATTCCTTCTCTACCCACATGACAAAAACCTGGCCTACAAACCTTGGGACATGGCAGATTTGCTGTTGTAGCCTTGGGGACAACTCCCTAGGTAGGTTAGGGAGCCTGACAAATCTATCCAGGTAAATGTCTCAATTTTCCCTTTCTTACCACTAAAGATAGATACAAGGGGGTTGAAAATGATCACTACTATCAAGCTACCTTCATTCTCCCCATAGAAAACCAGTTGTCTGTTGGTTGGCTAGTGACAGCTGTAGCTCCAAGTGATTTTTATTCCTCAAGCATAAAATCAGACTTTCATCAGCATTACCTTGGCATTTTTTGTTTCAGTGCTAGCCATCGAGCTTCTTGCAGCCTGCCAGGGCATAGAGTTTCTACGGCCCCTGAAAACAACCACTCCACTGGAGAAGGTCTATGACCTGGTGCGCTCTGTTGTAAGGTAAAGTCAACAGGTCCCTGGAAGTCACACCATTTCAGAACTGTGAACCTTGGCAGAGCTCAGTGTTCGGCTGATGGGTTGATATGCTTTCTTTGTAGGCCCTGGATAAAAGATCGCTTTATGGCCCCGGACATCGAAGCGGCGCACAGACTGCTCCTTGAGCAGAAGGCAAGCTGGCTACTTGCTTATTTTTTAGTTTTTGATGGTTATGGGAAAGCAAAGTGGAAGTCGGGAGGATAAACATTGTCTTAGTCTATAGTTTCCTGGCTGTTCCATGGAAGTGAACACAAATATACAGAAGCAACTTGCAAGGCCACTAAGAAGCCATTCCATAATCCCTTAGGGCCCCCTGTTACATCCAAGCATTGACTATCCGAGGATTAGAAGCTGAAATGAATTTTAAGTGGAGTTTGGAAACAAGGATTCTTGGGGAGAAATGAGATGAAAAGTTCATAGACCACCCCCCTCTGTCGCTCAAAAGTACTTTCTCCATCTGGTAATGTTACTACAACTACCACCACCAGGTGCACTGCTGCATAGACCTGATGGGTGAGGGGAAGGAAATCCCAGGGTTTTATTCCAAAGGGCTTTGAGCCTACCTAGTGCTTTGCTGTGGCCGTGCCCCATCTGTCTGGGTGATACGAGTTTTGCTTACTTATCCCACTAGTTATAGACCAGATGCCCAGTGTGCGTGAATGTATAATTATATATATAAAATATAAAATTATATGTTATATATAATATATAAAATTATATGTTATATATAATATATAAAATTATATATTATATATAATATAGAAATACATAATATAAAAAGATAAATATATATTAAAGTGCTTTAAACGTTTTGAACAATTTACATCACATTCTCTAGAATCACTTGATTTCCCCCAGAACAGTCACTCTGCTTGGGGGAACAGTTTTTCCTGGGATCTTCAAAACTGTCTTTTTTGGGGGGGGTACTGAGGGTTGAACTCAGGTCCTTGCACTTGCTAGGCAGGTACTGTACCATTTAAACCAGGCCTCCAGCCTGCACACATCATTTCTAAGTGCATCGTATATCCTTTGAGGGGCAGTCACTTACCTGCTGCCAACTCTGGTGCAGGTAGAAAGATGTGCTAGCTTGTGGAAACATACATTTTCTAAGGTCATAGAGTAGGAAAAGTCTCCTTGGTTGTCTGTGGCAATCAGAGAAAAAGTAGCTACAAACCAAAGCAGAACCTTAATGGGAAATTGTGTTATGCTTAAAAGAGAATAGGTTGGTGGGTGGAGGAGATTGGAGGCAGCCCTCCTCAAACTTTGGCGTGCATGTGAACTCCTGTGTATTTGGGAAAATGCAGCTTCGGAGTCAGAGGTCTGGGGTGTAAGGCATAGGGTTGGGGGTGAACTGAGATTCTGACTTGTCCCAGGTGGTACTTGTGGGGTTGGGACACAGGCCACACTTGAGTAGCAAGGGTCAAAGGTAGGGAGCATGGAGATAGAGCCATAGGAAATCCAATAAGCTGCCTTTTAATACTCAAGGCTTATTTCAGAAAACATCCTTGACTCTGTCTCTGTCCACACCAAATTTTCTAGGTTCTGTGCTTGCTTGTTTTTGCTTTGGAAAAGGAAGCAGTTTAAAAACCTTCAAAACTTTAGAATAGTTTTGGACTTTTTTTCTTTTTCTTTTTCTTTTTTTGCAGTACTGGGGATTAAACCCAGGTCTTTAGTTACGTCAAAGTGCTCTACTACTGAGCTAAATCCCCAGTCCTTTTTTTTTTTTAACCCTTTATTATTTTTATTTTGCAATAGGATCTCACTAAGTTGCCCAGGCTTGCCTCAAAGTTGTAGTAATCCTCTTCCTCAGACCCCCAATATCTGGGATGACATGCATGTGCCACCACCCAGATTAAATATGATTGTTCTTTCTTTTTTCTTTTTTCTTTTTTTTTGCCTTTCACATACTAGGCAAGTCCTCTACATGGACTTTGTATTTTCAAAGTCTTTAATGCATCCAGCAGTTAATTGACACAGATCACATGTCAAATAACTTAAAAACAAGCAAACAGCCACTATGTGTTTAATCAGTAGAGAGGATGTTTTGACTTGGGGTGAAGTCGATGTTTAATAGTACATGGAAACAATGCTGTCGCTATTTCAACTCTGTCCTTGCTTCTCAGGTTTGGGAAGTAGCTGTACCATACATTGAAAAATACAGGATAGAGCATATTCCAGAATCAAGACCTGTTTCTCCAACAGCCTTTTCACTAGAATCTCTTCGCAAGAATTCTATCAAAATCCCAGAGTCTGAAGATCTTTAATGGGCTTTGTCATGGATTAGCAGATCAAATGTCATTAAGCTGAAGGAGAGCCCTGGGGACCATCCACTATGCAATACAGCTCCTCTAAAACTTACTTTGGTTAGGCTGGAAGTACCGGGTTCTTATTGCCCTGGTCTGAGATGTACAGGTGTCATTGGGTTATAGGACTATTCTTTCTTTCTTACCATTATCAACAGACCACTTACTCTTATAAATAGCCTTGCTTGCATAGGTCTGTTTTTCACTCTTAGCATTAGTCAACTTCAATTTGGAAACAGACTAATAGCATTCTTCTTTTAAAAAAAAATTGGATTTTGTGAACCTTATTTTTTGTTAATTTGTTTTGACAAGTTCTCCACTTATTGACTTTCTTTGGCTGGTTGTACTATGTCATGATATGACAACTATTCCTATATATGCCTTCATAAATGACCATTTTAAGTCATAATTTGTCCTTAAGCCACTCTTTCTTCTAATTGAATCATAGTAAAGAATAGTGAGTAGGCCTTAAGCTATTAAATACAGAAGTATATAACACCCAACAGAAGTTTTCTATGGAAAGGAGTTAGAGGATGAACATGAAGAATATTTGGGTAGTCCTTGTTGAATTGTGTCTTTCATATTTATTAATCTCACTACATATATCTCCTCCATGCTTAATGACATGCTCAAGTTGGAGCTGGAAGTTAGTATTATCACTTCTGTGTGTTAGTTATCTAGTCACAGGTTTATAGTGACAGTACTCAGCAGCCGCCTCATTGCACAGGTGAGGAATCTGTGGGTGATTACCATTATCCTCCCCGTAACGGTAATCATTAAAATGAGCCCTACTGACACAGGTCAGCTGTGGCCCGAGGATGGCTTACCCCATTTGTGTTTTTCCCCTAAGAAGATAAAGGACCTTATGTGCAGATTTGAGTGTAGTTGTTCAGGAGAAGAATGGGTCAGCTGACCTTTTGGCTTCTCAAGGCTAAAACCTGTGACTCTGCACCCATCTGTATGAACGTGTGCAAAGCATTTCACATGCAGGAGTCTGAAACCAGGGCTCTAAAGACAGCAGGCACACTTGCCAGCTTGCCTAGCTGAGCACAGCCTGCAATGGGCAGAACAGTAGATTTCACAATGGGATCTTCACCCTTTAGAGTGTACCGTGTCCACAGGAAAGGTGGGAACTCAAGTGAAAACCGCTGGGGACAGCAAATCAAGGAGCGAAAATGCGCTGAAAATCTTGTTTACCTAAAGGTTGTTCTTGGTGCTACTCTTTGCTAAGCATGAACACACAAGTGAAGCTTGTTCATTCTCTCACCCAAGTTGCAGTTGGACTACTGAGCCCCAGCAAGTGGTTACTCCTCATTCCAGCTTGGGAAATGCTGAATTCCCGCCCACTTGTAGTCCTCGGGGGCATAATGACACTTTGTTAAGTTTCTATATAGCTCTGTTAGGAACTCAAGTCACCCATCTTCAAGAGAATTTCAAGGTAAATACAGGATAAATTGTATCAATGGTCTTATTACGCTATTCTTGGGGGCTTTTTTGAGAGGGAATACTGGGGATCGAACCCAGGGTTTGTGCCTGCTGAACATATGCTCTATCCCTGAGCTACACCCCCAAATCCCTGTTAGATTTCTTTTCTTAATAAAGTTTTAGAGTTTTTGTTTGTTTGTTTTTTTGAGACAGAGTCTTACTTTCCAGCCCAGACTTGCCTTGAACTCAAGATCCTCCTGCCTTTGCCTCCTGAGTGCTGGGATTACAGAAATGCACCACCACACCTAACTTAAGCAAAGTTTAGTCACTATTGAGAGAAAGCCTATTCTAAAGTGTAACTGATCAAGTTTGTGAACGATTCAGTCACCAACTGATACCATATTTTAGAAAATGTGATGGACCTTGTGCACTGTCTTGCTCTTTCCCCTCGAGTAGGAGCAAAAGAGTTGCTGGTATCAGGATCCCTTACCCTGGAGAGCTATCGTGGGCAGCTGGGAGGGGGAACCCCAAGTGCAATTGCTCGTCAAGCTTTTTGTCACATGCGCTAATGTCCTAGTGGCCAAAGCAAGCCACATGCCAAGCCCAGAGTCAATTTGGGAGAATGGTAGTCAAGGGCATGGAGGTGTGATTTGTCATAATTCATGGCCGTTACCCAACAATCGGCCACATATATCAAGTCAATAGATAAATATTCAAAAAGAGCTAGTTTTCATACTACTTTAAACTCGTGTCTTATTTCTGGGTCTGATCACTGTACTAATGTCTTCTCAAGATAGTCTGGTCATTTTGGTCACTGTATCAATATCTTTATTAGACATTATACTATCATCACTATGATCATTTTGCCTTTTTGGTTACTTTTGTTAAAGATACTAATTTATTAAATGCAAACATTGAATCCCCTCGTCCCTGCTCCCCCCCAAAAAAAAGAAAAGTTGAAGAATGTTCAGTCATCTCCCAGGATAGGCTCGATTAGTCTAAAGATGGTCCTGTCCCTTTTGCTCCCTGGGACTGCAGTTTGGCCCAATGAGACAGAGAAGGGATTCATTGGAGGCTCCTGAGAAAGTGTGTTCTCTCCTGAGAAGCACAGAAAACCATGTCTCCCCAACTGCTGGACCTAAATGAGAAGACAGAGAGCTCTGCCTGTTGACAGCGAATCAGACCCAGGGCATCACTGCTTGGCAGGAACCTGGCTCTTCCTCATCAATGAGCTCCTGAATAAACCAATCTGGAAGCCTGTTCTGCCTCTGGATTTTCAAGTGGTGAGCCAAGATGCCAATTTGAGTCAGGTTTTTTATGTCTGGCTGCTATTAGCATCCTACCTACAACAGCCTCTGTGTGAGAGGCTGTACCAGGGGTTTATCAATGATCCCATGCACTCCTGTGTTCAAGAACTTTCCTTGTACTTGGGGGCAAACTAAGGCAATTGTTGGGCCACATGTGTATCTTAGAGGAAGGCAGAACAAATGCAGTGCTAGGTCATTGGGGAGGCCTTGAAAGAACCGACTGAGCTGAGCTTTGCAGGATGGGAGTCAGAGAGAAAGGAGAATTGCAAGCTAAATGTCAATGTCAGAGGATATTTGTGTCTAAAACCATTTCTGTGTTTGGTCAATTTCTATTATTAAATAAATGGTAACCACGATGGCATTGGTCCTTGCCCTCACAGTTTATAGCCTAAGCAGTGGGACAGATGAGAAAACAAACAATAGCAGTGGGTGGAAATACTAAGGCAAAGCAGGTAAGTAGTCAGGAACCAGATCATAGAAGTGCAAATCACATGCTAAAGGGCCAGTGAGGGACAAAAAACCCTACACCTTGACCTGGAGGGACAAGATCACTGTGGCTCAAGAGTAGTTTCCACCATCTGGGTATCAGGTACATCAGGACCACAATTGTGTCCATAGCAACGCTTGGGAAATGTGTGGTTTCATATTTTGGAATAACTTTCTATCAGAAAAAAATCTCTCCAATAGGTAGGCGTTGGGTTTTCTCCTTCAACTGCTTACTATTACAAAGACCAAGAGGCTCACGCTTGGGGCAAGGGGTGGAAATCTAGCAAAACTAATTTAAATAATGAAATTAGTGTGTTTGATTACAGTGTTATTCTTTTAAGAGCTCAAGCTCTTAATACCATCTGACAAGGACTACTCTTTAATGTCTACCTTACTGCCCTAATTGGATTGTGAATGCCCTGTAAGCAATGTGCAGCTTAGTACTGGAATTTCAGAGCTGAAAGGACTCCAACCTCCATATTTTCCAGTAGATAAAAGTTCAGATGAAATCCACACATTTCTTTAGCATATGATATTAGCTTGCCTGCCTCTCTAATTAATGCGTCCTCATCTCAGTATGACACTGCTCCAAAAGGATGAAAATTGGTTCTTGGTAGGCAAAAACAATTTACATGCTGTAATGGTTTGTGGTCCTTCCAAGCTTGACCCTACCTGACAAAATCTTCTTTCTTAGGAGGAAGGAAGATTTCTCCTGTGGTAGCCGCTGATTTTTAAAGGTTGAGAAAAGAAATGATCTTGTTCAGTGGGGCACACAGAAGGGATTTTCACATCTTCCTGAGCCATTGTTTTCCTCCTGGACTTCTAGTGCCTCCTACTTTCCCCACCAAATGACCTGGTTAGCTCTGTAGGCGTCTTGCCAGAGTCCATTCATATAGTAAGTATTTAAGGGCCTACTATGCACACTGAAGCCAGATCCATCCTTCAGCAACACTCTCGTCCTGGTCCTGTCTTTTCAGTGGCTTCCCCTGGCCTTAAGAATGAAGTTCAAACTGGTGAGCATGATGTTGGAAACCCTGTGACACCTGAACTGACTGAGTTTTATAGTCTCAGCGTCCTCTACTCTAGGGGGCTCATCCTGTACCTGTGAAGTCTTCATGACATGAGGTTCCTTTGTCAAAAGACCTCCCAGCCTCCAGAGCTGAGAATGGCAACCCCTTTCTACCTCCACTATACAATTGTTTCTCTCTTTTTGTGTGGTACTGGATTTGAACTCAGGGTCTTGCACTTGTTAGGCATGCATTCTACCACTTGAGCCACACCCCCAACCCTTTTATTGTTTTAGTTGTTTTTTAGATAGGATCTCAAACATTTTGCCCAGGGTCAGCCTCAGACCGAAATCCTCCTACCTATGTCTCCCCTCCTGTGTAGCTGGTATTACAGGCATGCACCCACCACTCCTGGCTTGTTGGCTGAGATGGGGGTGTCTCAACATTTTGCTCAGACTGGCCTCCAACCATGAGCCTCACAATCTCCATCTCCTGAGTAACTGGGATTATAGACATGCACTACCAAGCCCAGCTGACAATTGTTTCTTTATGTCATTTTACTCTTAGGTTTTACTCTCCCATGTGCATCATCCTCTGGCCTTATATCAAGAAATTCATATGCTTTTTCCACTCCAGAGTAAATATTTGGCCTGCTTAGCAATGTTGTTTTGCTTTGCTTTGCATTTTGTTTTATTTGTTTTGTTTGAGTGGGTCTCGCTATATATCCCAGGCTGTTCTCTTTCAGTCATTCATTAATCCTGATGATCTGCTATGAACCAGCCACCACACTTCATTCTGGGGATTCGACAAGGGCTCTGCTCCCTACTACCTCATAATTAAATGGGAAAGAGGATCAAATTGTGATGCTGTAAAGGCTCTCGTAGAGGTGTGGGAACACAGGGAGGGGCAACCAGCCCCATTTGCCCACACAGGGAACAGAGGAAAAATACGGTAATTAACCCTTATCCGTGGTTTCACTTTTCATGGTTTCAGTTGCCTGTGTTCAACCATGGTCCAGAATTTTTAAATAGAAAATTTTGGAAATAAACAATTTCTAAGTTTTAAATTGTGAGCCATTCTAAAGAGTATAATGAAATCTCAAGGGTTTCGCTCTGCCCCAGCTGGAACATGAATCGCTGTTTGCCCAGCATCTCCACACTGAATACGCTACCACTCATTAGTATCTAGGGAGTCATCTTGATTATCAGACCAACTGCCAAGGTACCACTGAGTTTGTGTTCAAGGAACCCCTATTTTACCTCCTAATGGCCCCAAAGTGCCAATGTAGTAAGTTGGCAACTCAGATGTGCCAAAGAGAAGCCACAAAGCACGTCCTTTATGTAAAAAAGGTGAGCTATAGTAAGATATTTCTAGAGAAATATCTTATTACAGTGCGTTGCTCATTTTTCTGTTTTGCAATCGGTTATTGTTGGTAATCTCTCAGTCTACCTGCCTTATAAATTAAGCTTGTTCCAGGTATATATGTATTGGGAAAAAAATAGTACTTGTAGCTACAGAGCTTTGGCACCATTGGTGGTTTCAGGCATCCACTGGGGGGTCTTGGACCATATTCTCTGTGGACAATGGCTACGGCACCCCCGGAAGAGGGAACAGAGCTGCCAGGCCCAGGGCAACTGACTCAAATGATGTTGGAGGAAGGATGAGGGTTCTGTGAGTAAGCCTAGACCCCAGTCTTGTCACGAGCATGTGAGCCACCTGCAGGCTTGCAACTACGCATTCTGATTCAGCAGGTCTAGAGGGAGGTCAAGGTTCTATACCTCTAGCAAGCTCCCAAGAGTTGCAAAGGCTAACTGCACACTGGCCGGGGAGGACTAGGTGGTTCAGACAGTACCTCTTCTGCTTTCATTCAAAAAGACATGAACGCTATGTGTTCATGAAGACTTCCTAGAAGGCATTCTCACTCATCAGTGTTTAGGATACAGTCCTGGGTGGCGTGGGTCCCAGGGCAGACTTAATATTGAATTTGGGGCTTTGTGTTCATCTTCTGCCTTCACATCAACCATGCTCCCCTCACAGTCCCCTGAGACTCCCTCACCAATCGCATGATTGCAGACCCCATGATTTGGATGGGGCTTCTTCCCCATGGGTGTGTGTTGGAAGGTTGGTCCTCAAGATGGTGATGTCAGGAAGTGGGACTCCTCTGGGAGCTGGAGTCTAGTGGGAGGTCTGTAGATCAACCAGCAGGCAGTGTCCTCAAAAGGGATTAAGGCTTTTTTCCTGGGACTGGGCTAGTTCTTGCAAGATCATTGTTACAAAAGCCTGAACCTGGCCCCACCCAGTCTCTCTCAGGCTTCATGTACAGAGCTATGATTGCTTCCCCTCTCCCCTTGCCCCACACACACCACTGCCATCTGCCATGAATTGCCACATTCAGGGGAACATCCTCACAAGAACATGTGCCTTGCTGTTAGGAAATTTTAGCAGTCACAACTGTGAGCTAAGTAGACCTCTTTTCTTCATAAGTAGTCTGTCTCAGGTATTTCACTATAGTAACAAAAAACTAATATACAAATCTTGGTTTGATTTATATTGAATATAGTAAAGCCTTATTAATTCAAGCTTACTAGCCTGAACTTGGTGATAATTTGATAATTGATGTTTACTTGTCAAAAAAATCACTTTTTTGTAAATAGGAACAAGTTTGACAATATGGATATGATTATAAAGATAATTAAAACATTCAAGTTTTTTTCAAGTAAACTGACCGGGCTTTAGAAACACCAACTTATGACAAAATTATTCACTTTTCACATAATTTTGTAATTTTATTTCTTAAACTTTGTTCAAAAAACTCCAATAAGCAATGCTGCTTATCAACTTCCAGGGATGAAAGGAAACAACAATAGTAATAACAGAGTTATAAATTTGTTTTTATAAATTTGTGATGCAAAGCTTCAAAAAATTAATTGAAAAAGATTAAACCTGCATTATTGGAAGCTGAGTTGCTAGAGTTGAAAAGACACAAAAAATGGAAGGATGTCCTATCCCAGGGACATGAATACATTTGAAGAGCATCTAGAAAGACAAGCCATGTGGAGAAAGAAAATACCATTTGCTTAAGATAAAGGGAACATTTTAGCTTAATTTGGAGCATATCATTTGAATTTCTCCTCTTCCCCAAATGCTCACTAAATATAATTTAAAAACTGAAACTTGAGATGCAGAAACACAATGAAAATTTCAAGTCATCTACTTTTCCCACAAAGGCATTTTTAAGACACCCCATCACATTAATCTTCAGAATATTTGTAACCAATCTTTGTGAAACAATTTAATGATTTGAGATAATCATCACAAAAGGTTTACCTGTTTATATGTCCAGGTGCACATATTCAATACAAATAAATCAATCCCATGGGTTTTTCAAGCAGGTTAAGATGACATTGAAATATATTTAGGTTCAAATGACATCATTCTGGTAAACCACTAAAACATTTCAACTTTTAACATAATAGTATTGACTTATTGTCTTCTCTCTCCTTCCAGATCTATCACTTTTTATAGATGACTTTTCCTTTAGCTATGACATATTCAATTAATTCATGATGGCCTCCAAATTGATAAATCAAATGCTCCCATCTAGAAAGAAATCAAACATTTTTTTCAATACATGGAAGTCAAAATTATCACTATGTCAACGAATGCTAATTTTAAAATGAATTTTCTAAAAGCTGATTTATACTAGGTCATTGCTATTTGAGCTTTTTATACTGTTATTGAGTATATAACTAACTGATCTGTGATAAATCTAGTGGTGTTTAAAAATAGTATTTAAGTACTTGATCTTAAATATTTGCTTCATTACATGACACATGAATGCTAACATGAACAGTACAGTGAAGGGAGTGAATTGTGACCATGAAGTCAGAATTATAGGGCTGCTCCCTGCTGAATTTGGGGTCCAAGGGCTGTAATTAGCTCACATGGGTCAAATAGGCATAGTATTTACAACTCTTAGATTTACAACAATAACATCCAATTGTGACACTGGAGGCTCAGCTGGTAGCAGACTGAATGTGAGAAATAAAAAACAAGAAACAGGAGAACCAAGTGAAGGGTTTTGGGATCCAACTGCCATCAGAAGTCAGAGAAGGAATGAAGCAGAACCAGGGTGACAAGCTGGAGGTGGGAATAAGCAGAAGGTCAGGAGCCAAACAGAAAATCAAACACCCACATCCAAAGTCCAGGTAAACAGAGCAGGAACCTGGAAATCTTTGAATGATGTAAGGCAGATGAAGAGACCCAGCAACTTGGTCGACTTTGTAGTTTAGGACCCGGGAGGTAGACTTTCTGGTTGGAAAGTGGTGAAGACAGAGGGGGACTGGGTAGTGTCTGAATCTAGACAAAGCCATACTAATAACTAGTGAAAAGAGAGTTTAAACTTTGTTTACATATATGACAGTGAGCATAAAATAAAACAGCTAAGTTGGGAGAACACTCACCTGGATGCACTGATGATAATGAGATCGCCCTGCTTGCCAACTTCCAAAGACCCGTGGGTGTGAGATTTTCCCAGCGCATAGGCCGCATTGATGGTGGCAGCCGCCAAGGCCTCAGCCATGCACATCCTCATGTTCACACAGGCCAGATGCATGACCATTGGCTAAGGCAGGAAGAGAAAAGCACTGGAGGAAAGTGACAGACCAGCAGCTGCTGCTTAGGACGTTCTCCACACAGCACAACTCATAAAGGCAGTTAAATGCAGGTAGGAGGGCTCAGGAGGTAGCTTAGTCGTAGAGCTCACACTTAGCATGCACAAGGCCCTGGGTTCAATCCCAGCACCCCCAAAAGGATGTATAGGTGGACTTGCTAAATTGCTATGGGAGAAAAATCTAACTTGATACATAAAGGTTCTTATGTTTTTGGGAAAATTCCTTCATTATTGGGTATAACTTATACTCAATAATGTATTTAATATTTATTTACAACTTTTCAAGACTTTTACTGTGTTAAATGAAACTTACCTCCTCCCTTACTTATTAAAACGTCATTGAGTTCCTGCTATGCTCTGGTGAAGGAAAATGAGTTACTACAAAACCACGATGCCCAAGGCTAAATTGGAAAATGATGCAAATACAAGCTGCTCTCCTCTCTTCAGGCCTGCAGGCATCCGTGTGGTGCAATTATATTACTGTCTTTACCTGCTTGTCTTGTTTCACAGGGAAGTATTTTTAGATCTTTTACACATTTTAACAGCTGGCGAAATATTTTTAAATTACTTATATGCTCAATTAATACTCTTCAGAAAAACACCTGAAATAATAATTACCATTGAAAGGCAATATGCATTGGGGTTGAAATCACTGCCCAGGGCAACAATCACACCTTCATCTAGCATCTTCCTGGCTCGAGGCTGCTTCAGTCTAGAGGAGGAAGAAAAGATGTCAGTCTCTAGAGCTGGAAGTTTTGCAGAACAGATGACCAGAATGGAAGAGAAATTGAGACACCCAATGCCTTCATGCTCTAGAAGAAGAAGAAAACTAAAGGTTAAGTAATTAGTGGTACAATTAGGTAGAACCCTATTTAGGGTCTGGAGAACTCTTGATTTTCATCATTGTGCTTTGGGAATTACTTGGCTATTATTTAATTTGTGACCATTTATCTCAGCAATCTTTTATATACATATATATATATACACACATATAAATACATGTTATAGATGTATTATAGTTGCATATTATAAATTATACCTATTGTTAGAAATGAAGGAGACATGGAAGAGGCAGAGAGACAGCTCAAAAACCAGCACAGGGTTTACTGTCCAGGAAGAAGCCTGGTGGAGGGGAACCCCAGCAAGAGAGCTGGAGCCCCCAGCCACTTACAGACTTGATGTAGATATAAGGGAGTGGTATGGAGGGGAAACCCCACTGGATGGGAAAATTCTTCCACAGTAGAGTCAAACATCACTAGGGGGAAGCTAGAGGAACTAGGTAGATAAGTTGCTCAGCTCCAGACCCCCTGGCAAGGTAGTGGCTTGTCATTTCCTTGAGGCTAGATGTGGTCCTTCCAGTAGGTGGTAGGTGGCGTGTCAGTAAGCTGCCTGCAAGGATGGGGGGGTCTGATCCTAACATGGCTTCTTTTTGTTCACCCTAACACCTATATCTCTCTCTATATATACAACTCTCTCTCTCTCTCTCTCTCTCTCTCTCTCTCTCTCTCTCTATATATATATATATATATATATATATATATATATATTCTTGCTGAGGGAGGAAAATATAATTTACCAATGACTTTCAATAAAGTAATAAACTTTTCTAATAAAATGTCACTTACATGACTTAAACAACTAAAAAGGTTAAATTAATGCTATTTGTATTAATTTCCAAACAGCTTCCCTTTTTTTGTTTTATTTTTAGGTTTCAAATTTTTTTTTGTAGGTTCTTTAAAAAAGGCCCAACAATTTAATGTATAAAATGTGCTTCTTCCTGGATTAGGCATCTCCTGGCCACACACTGTATGTTCTTTAGGATATAACATGTAAGTTGTGTCAAAGATAAACAAATGCAGGCACTAGTTGAAGTGATGAGGACAGATTTAATTTAGGAAAAACAATTACAACAGGAAAAGAGTACAGCATACACTGAACTCAGTGTCAACTTGTGCAGAGGTAACTGGGCATTTTGAAGGGATAATGAAGAAGTAGAAAGAAAAGCACCGGGTGTTCAAGCTGTCAGGAAAGCAGGAATTTATAAAACAAGAGAGGCCTTGCCAGTGAGATCTGGGGTTGTTAATTGGCACTTAGCTAAAGGAGAAAAGAACTTGCGGGTTTATGGCCTGAGGCTGGGTGCAAGTTAGAGCAAGGGGCCCTCCTGGCTGAGTAAAATTTTCTCTTTGAATATTTGTTTTTCAAAGAGTTGACTCTCAGGTCCTTGAGAAAACACCTTTGGATGGGAGAAGATTTACATCTCAAAAAGGAAAAGAAAGGACTTAGAATTGCAAAATTTTAAAAGCAATTGCTCTAAGAAGGTGTCAGTAGCCAATCTGCCTATCAACAGGTTTTGGATGGAATGAGTAATCAGTTCTCCTGGAAGCATTGAGCTTTCTCAGTTTCGCACTGTCTCAATTGTTGCTGCATCCCCAGTACCTAGAACAGCACCTGGCAACTAGTAGACTTTGGCGTACATGTTGGCATGGGATTTAATAAACTATCAGGAGTACAGAGATGATTCTTGTCCTTAAAGCATTTCTAGTATGGACTGGTCATTTGTAGGACCACTTAAAATTATGCTTCCCAACTGTGACAACGGAAAAGAGGAGATAAGTGAAGAAGAGGTAGAACAAGGAAAGGTAGCACCCCTCCCTTATCCACAGGGAATGCATCCTAAGACCCCTCAGTGGACACCTAAAGCCTCGGATAATACCAAACCCTATGTGTGCTATGCTTTTCCTATACATTCATACCTGTGATAAAGTTTAATTTATACAATTGGCATGGTAAGAGATTAATAACACTATGTAAGAATAAAATGGAACAGTTAAAATGATATGCCGAAGGCAAAGTTATTTAAAATTTAGGAACTATTTATTCCTGGCACCTTCCATTTAATATTTTCAAACCGCAGTTGACCACAGGTAAGTGAATCTTCAAAAGGCAAAACTGAGGAAAAAGAGGGACTGTGATAGCTTCACACTGTCCTGCACATTATTCTGATGGCCTCCTGTTCCCTTCAGAACTACTCAGGTGGGGGAAAAAGTGAGGCTGTAAAAATAATAAGGGAGATCCATAAAAAGGAAGATGAATATTTCCTGAGTAAATGTGACATGCAAATATTCATCCAATATGTGGTTAAAGGCAGCCCTTAAGAGCCATAGGGCTCAGGTTATCCTAAAAATGACAGTCCAAGAGTTCAAGGTACAGCAGGGGCCTGTAGGTCTCTCTTGATGGAGAAATAAGAAAAGTACAGGACCAAAGAAGCCAGAGACAAGAATGGGCCTCTGTCTGATTGCCCTTATTGTCCAGAAAGGATGTAAACCTCCCTGTGACAATGGCAGCTGGTGCCTGCCAAGAGCATAGGAATAGAGGTCAGATTCTGAAGGCTGAACTCCCCGGAGGTACCACAAAGTCTTTCAAAGTTTTTGCTCCATGTTAAGAGACTTGAGGCAAGTAAAAGAAAGTCATTTTGGGTGGGTATAAAAGACATGCTCCTGAGTGGAGAAAATCAACCAAATTAAATATTGATTGAGAATCTAGATTGGTAACTACTAAGACTGTTTAAGAAAAGTGCATGGTTATACCAAGAAGTTATTAATAGTTCATGATTTTAGCCTGCACTGTCTAGTCTTTACATTAAGAGAATATTAATAAAAATGGAAAAATAAGGACAATATTAATACCAATAAAATGTATGATATACATATGCGTATGAAATCATAATAAATTAGAGAAAAGCACCGAAATATTTTTTCTTTTCCCTTCTAAAAGTTACTCAAATCCCAGCCTTTCTCACCCTCAGCACAGTCCATGTCTTGGGCTGGATAATTCTTTATTGGGGGGTGCCGTTCTATAAATTGAGAGACATTTAGCAGCACCTGTGGCCTCTACCCACTAGATGCCAGGTGTGCCCCCTAGCTGTGACAACCAAAAATGCTTCCTAACATTCTCAAATGTCCCCTGGGAGACAAAAATCACTTTGGAGTGAGAACCACTGTCCTAATCGTCCCCCAGAAGACCATGTATTGGACCCACACCAAATCCTAAGAGAAAAATCAACTGTCTCTTGAGTGCTGACTTCACAGCTGCCAAGGAAGTGTTATAATGGAAAGGGTCAGAAGACCTCATAGTTAGCAGAATTCTAGAGCAATAACAGTTATTAAAGATAGGCAAGGTATATTCAATTCATAGAGGGCCTACAACAAAGTCCTGAAGGAGACTGGACAAAATAAGCTTTCTCTGTCTCCTAAATTCTCCCACCCCCAGAGTGTGTGAGGATTCAGGCATTCCTTATGGTTCCAATAATATCCTTTTAGAAAACAGCTCATCCAGATTCTGAGTGTTGCTGAATACCCCAGCATCTTAGGTGTGTTTGCAAAAGTGCACAGCCAATTTAGTTATTTGCCAACTCTAAAAGTAATGCATACTGATTTTTTTTTAAGTTGGAAAATTCCAAAATCTAGGGAGGAAAAAGGAGCACCAATGTCCTCCATAATCCCACCACTCAGAGGCAATTGGGTCTAGGCGCCTTCCTCAGGGTAACACACTTGTGAATTTATGACGCAGGAGCTTCTGTCGTCTGCAGTTTTCAGCGATTTGTAAGGGCAGTGGGATAGTCTTTTTTTTTTTCTTTTATTATTCATATGTGCATACAAGGCTTGGGTCATTTCTCCCCCCTGCCCCCACCCCCTCCCTTACCACCCACTCCGCCCCCTCCCTCTCCCCTCCACCCCCTCAATACCCAGCAGAAACTATTTTGCCCTTATTTCTAATTTTGTTGAAGAGAGAGTATAAGCAATAATAGGAAGGAACAAGGGTTTTTGCTGGTTGAGATAAGGAGAGCTATACAGGGAGTTGACTCACATTGATTTCCTGTGCGTGTGTGTTACCTTCTAGGTTAATTCTTTTTGATTGGGATAGTCTTGAGATACCATCAAAACCTGTGTCCTCACAGCCTGTCCTTGCAGCCTGTGTCACAACCTTACCTCAGCATGTAGGCTGTGGTGGGCAGAAGGATGGCGGAGCACCCAGCTGTTGCCATGGCAGCAATGCCCTCATCACTCACTTCCTCCAGATGGCTAATTGCCCGGGCTCCTAGTTCTGCCCCAAGCTGGCAGGATGGCAGAGAGGGAAAGGCTTAACAAATAACGAATAAAGTGCATGACACTGTTTCCTCCAAAAAGAAACAACTCTTTATTATTAATTTTTCATGTCAACTGCCTCTAGGAAAGCCCCAGAATAGAAAAAGGGCTTGTAATAGATAGATAGTGCGCTGTTTTAAAACTAATCTTTTTTTTTTTTTTGGCAGCACTAAGGTTTGAACACAGAGCCTTACACTTACAGGCTGGTACTCTATCACGTGAGCCATGCCTCCAGCCCTTTTTTGCTTTAGTTATTTTTCAGGTAGGAGCTCACTTTTTTGCCCAGGGCTGGCCTCAGACCATGATCCTCCTGCCTATGTTCCTGAGTAGCTGTAATTACAGGAGCTTGCCACCACACCTGGCTTATTGGTTAAGGTGGGATCTCACTAACCTTTTGCCCAAGCTGGTCTCAACATGATCCTGAATAATCCCAGCACTCGGAAGGCTGAGGTGGGAGGATAGGGAGGTTGAGGCCATCTTGGGCAACATAGTAAGACCCATTTTCAAGGACAAAAAAGAAAGAAAGAAAGAAAAGAAACGTGATAAACTATACAGAGGGAATGGGTTAAAGGAAGGGATTAAAATGAAGGCAAGATCAGAGGGACAGAGAGAGGGGTTACTGCAGGAGTCCAAGGTGACCTGATGGTAGTGGAAACCAGGCAGTGAGCTGAGAGACAGGGACTTGGTTGAAATACAGTAGGTGAAGAGGAAGGAGTCAAAAAGGATGTCCAGGTGTGTTTGACTGAGCAACAGACAGACAGAGCATGATATTCACTGGGACAGGGAACAGGACAAGATTTGGAAGTGATATTAAGACATCAAGTTGAAGCCAGCACCAGTGGCTCACATGTCATCCTAGCTACTCAGGAGGCAGAGATCAGAAGGATTGTGATTTGAAGCCAGCCCAGGAAAATATTTCATGAGACCCTATCTCAAAAAAAACCCTTCATAAAAAAGACTGGTGGAGTGGCTCAAGGTGAAGGCCCTAAGTTCAAGCTCCAGTACCAGAAAAAAAAAAAAAAAAAAAAAAAAAAAGCCATCAAGTCGAGCCAGGTGCCTGAAATCCTAGCTACTTTGGAGGCAGAGATCAGGAAGATCATGGTTCAAGGCCAGCCAGGCAAATAGTTCACAAAATCCTATTTTGAAAATGCCCAACACAAAAAGGGCTGGTGGAGTGACTCAAGTGGTAACTCTACCTGCCTATCAAGCAGGCCCTGAGATCAAACCCCAGTACCACTAAAAAAAAGAAAAATAAAAAATAAAAAGACATCAAGTTAAATATACGCTTGAGCATAAGCCCCAAGGCCGATTGCTAGATTTCATTTTTTGAATTTTTTATGGTGTGCTGGGGATCGAACCAAGGCCTTGGGTACACTGGGTGAGTGCTCTACCCACCGAGCTACATACCCAGCCCCTTTCAGGCAGTTGTTTTAGTAAACTCTAAAGCTTACAGGAGGGATGTCCAGACTCATGCTTGCAGAGACTCTGCCTTATTCACTGCTGGATGGTGCCTTGTGCCCAGTAGACTCTCAAATATTTATTGATAAGACGAATAAGTGAATTTGGGCAAGACATACAGACGTGAAAAGCATCCTGTGGTTATTAACGATGTGCCCCATCAACACTGTTTGGGGTTCTGTCACAAGAAGATCCCAGAAGCTCCCTGTGAAATTACTATTCTTTGCTAGGGCGGCTTTGTGTGCCAACTGAAATATGTCGTGAATGTAGGAACCGAGATCACAGACGTACCTGCTTTTCTAGTAACATCACCAGAAGGTGGTAAGAAAAGTAAATGATCAGGCTGGGGGTGTAGCTCAGAAGTAGAGTGTGTGCTCAGCAAGAGCAAGACCCTGGATCAACCCCCAGCACCAAAAACCCTCCCCCCAAAACAAAGGAAGTTTCTAAGAGAGGTCAGGGTTTCCCAGGCTCAAGCAGCCAATTTGCACATTGTTCAAAGGTTCTGTGTTTCAGAAGGCTATGCCTTGCCTTGAACAAATGAATTGAGTTTTCCACAGCATGAACGTGCAAGTACGTATTGACAAGGGAGCCAAGGTCAGCCCTACCTCGGCAGCCTTCATTGGGTGGAGCTCATCCCCATGGAAGTTAATCTGCAGTCCCATCTCCTTTCCACTTTGAAGAATCCTTCTGGTGGAATCCAGATCAAAGACCCCCTTCTCACAGAACACGTCTATATTGTCAACGTGTAGTTCCCCCTGTCTGCCAAGTTCCTTCAGCTTTGGGAGGTGGTTAGTGATGATGTCATCCGCTGCTTCAGTGGCAGTTTTTCCTCTGATGAAAGAAAATGAGATTACTATGTATTTATTTAGTAATATACATATATATGTACAAATCCATACATACACACATATATACACACATTTATATATATATATTATATATATATAGAGAGAGAGAGAGAGAGAGAGAGAGAGAACCTGAGAAACAGTATATAGGTAAATGACTTCAAGCCTCAGAAAAGTAGAAAAAAGAATCAAAGCTAAGACTCAGGATTCTTGACAACTGGGTCATGCAGCAGTATCAATAAGATTTCCACTTGCACTGATGTTATCCACAGAGATGTAAATTGCTCAGTCATGCTAGTACACAGGAGTTGCCTTTTGGGTTGTCAACAAGGCCACCTGGCTGGGCTATAAAGCTGAATCCCTGCATTAAGGACACTTACAGGACATCCTGGATGCTTCTGAATATCCACTGCAGTCCCCTTACCCAGCTATTGCCCTGCCTTTTCTTTCTCTTCCTCCTCAATGTTTCCTGAAGCATCTGCCTAAGGCTGCCTGTCTCACCATGGGGGGAGGAGGGTGAATAGCAGAGGGCCTTGAAATGCTCTGTAAAATTTTCCTGTTATATATATTAGAAAGGAATGGGTTTTTTAAATCAGACAGAGCTCTACCTCTTGCTGGCTCCATCAATTTGGACACGCCATTTGGCTCTGATTTACAGTTGTCTAAAGATGAGCTTTTTCAAAAGTCTCAGTGCAGTTTTAAGCTTTAATAACTTCAGATTCTAAATGCTAAAAACTTACAACAAAGATTCTAGAAATACTGAATATTTATATTTATTTTCTATACAAGTACTTTGTGAGTTTTGAGTAGTAATGTTAATTTTTTACTTCCTCTGCTGATGGCAAGTGAATATTAACATTAAAAATTTATATTTCTGTTCTAGGCAACTGTCCCAAATTTTTATAGTGACTATAATTAATAACAAACAGCATACTGTATTATTGAAAACTACTATGCAAATAAATATATAATAAATAAATAAATATATTGTATATAAATAAATCATATGTTTTGAATATTCTCACCACAAAAAGTGATAAAGTGAGATAATACATCTGTTATTTAATGCAATTTAGCCATTTCACAATATATATTTCAAAAACCATGTTGTACACAGGTACACAATTTTTATTCCTCAAATAAATAATTTACATTTTAAAGTTCCCAAAAATAAGGAACTGTAAAAGAAGTTTAAATGATTACATTTTCAAGCCTATAGCACATATGCATCTCCATTCTCAAAGCTGAAGAGGACAGTAAAACTTTGGAGATACCACCCTGTCGATAACTTTTAGATCTTTCAGGTCTGGAACCATGGTCCCTCCTGTCTAGAGATCTGGGACCAAAAGGACTTGGGGCAGATAAGCTTCAGATGTAGAGAGACAGTGTTCTTTACAGTTAAGCCCTGCAGAGAAACTTTTTAGATAAAGGGAAAAGCTTTTAAAAAAAAATACAACAATAAAACAAAAATGTTTGCTGTTACGTAAATAAACAGATGAACAAAAACCAAATCCCTTCTGAGGCACCTAGACTACAAGGCATGATCTATCTTCTATAGTGTGTTATTAATCTCTCAGGGCTTTATGCTAATTATTAGCACAGAAAATTACTGAAGTTAGCATCTGTAATTTTAAAGGATCTACAAGGGGCTCATTTCTCTTTGCTAACCAAAAGGACATCATTAAAGGACTAGAGAAGTTGGTGGGGGCCGATGGGGCTCCTTCTTGCCATGATTGGCCATTGGAACTACAGCATCCTTCCAAAGCCTTCTTCTTTCTACCTGTCACTTACAGGAGCTGAAGGGCTGATGCGCCTCCCTCCCCATGGAGCCCGCAGTGGCCCCAGCCAATGCCCCCCACCTTGCCCCCCGCCGAGATTACTTGGGCACTGAGTGGGCCCCACAGTAGGTGACCGAGATGTCCACGTGCAGCTCCCGCCGGGCGCGCTCCAGCACGCGCAGCATCTTGAGCTCGGTGTCCAGGTCAAGGCCGTATCCGCTCTTGCACTCCACCAACGTGGTGCCCGCCCTCATCATGCACTCCAGCCGCTGTCGGAAGCTGCAGAACAGCTCCTCCTCGGAGGCCTGGCGGGTGCGCTCCACCGTGAAGTTGATCCCTCCTCCAGCCTGGTGGATCTCCATGTACGTGGCACCTGCCAACTGAATATGAGTCCCACTCAGGGAATTTGCAGACAGGTCTGCAGACCGACCTGGCCAGATCAGAAAGGATGAGACATTTCTGGACGTCCCTGCTGTTCCAGACACTAGATGGTTGGGAAAGTCATCCCAGGAAGGCACAGGACAGCAGAGACAGGAGATGGATTAGGGATGCTGGGAACCTCGAAGCTCTGCAACAGGAGTGTTTCCATATCGTAAACACGCAGCTGGTCCCCAGTGAGCTAAGTCTCAGCCCTTCCTACATTTCCTCCACATGTTTGAGTACACAAAGCTAGGGGTTCAGGGAACTTCACAGCAACCATTCAAATTTCTGGTAAAGAGCCCCAGGGTAGGTTCCAGGTCTAGATATCTGGGCACCAGAGTTTGGAGCCTGAACTTTGTCACACAAGCAAATAAAGTCTCTCTGGGGTGCAGTGGGCTCCCATTACTCTGGACAGAAGGGAGTCTGGTGCAAACAAAGTATGCAGCCTGGGTCTGGTGGCCAGAGTTTTCATCAAGCCCTGAGGTCCTCAGCTCCCTACCACGCTCCCTTCCCTGGAACTGACTTTCTGCACCAGTAGAAGGACAACACTGGAATGAAATCTTTAACAGTGCTTCCGACTCTGAAATTCTATGATGGAATAAAATAGTCTTAAAAAACAGCTCTGATTTGTTGAGGAAAGTATATAATATCTGAGGAAAAGGATTTTTTTCCTGAAATAATCCAATTGCACTGTTAGAGTACATGTCTTTTGTTTTTGATTTCCTTAACAATGTGAAAATGTCTCTGACCAAGGATTTAGGAGTTGGCTATGGCTAATCAATGACTAATACAGATTACATTCTATGATTTTTTTTTTCTGGCAGTACTTGGGTTTGAACTCAGGGCCTCATGTTTGCTAGACAAGCACTCTACTTGTCTATTTGAACCATGCCTCTAGCCCACATTTTATGATTCTTCGTAAGTCCCATTTTTCTGAAAAAAGAGAATATAAGCCATTTTGCTTTTATGATTAGTAATATGTTTTTCCAATTCAACCCCAATGAATGGTGATTTTCAAATTGTTCCTTGGAACTCTTTCAAAGGCTACTACACGTGGTGATTTGGCATTGGGGTGGGGGCAGGAAGAAGAAAGGAAAAACCAGTTGGCAAGTCACCCAGGTTTGCTCTAAAAGGGTTCTGCAACTAAAAGTTTTCAAACATAATTCCACTTAAAATATTTGGAAGCCCTGTGCATCATATAAAAACTTGGGGCAGGATAAGTAAGTTAGTTCTGCTGTCTCTTGTTTTCCATAGTCAGGCAAGTAAAACTACCCATTATAGACATGTAGGCCTGGCACGGTGGCTCATGACTGTAATCACAGCTGCTCTGGAAGCGAGACAGGAAGATCTTGGTCTGACACTAGCTCAGACAAACCCCATCTCAACAAAAAAGCTAGGTGGTGGTCTTATCTGTAATCCCATTTACAAGGGAGGCATAAGTAGGAGGACTGAAGTCCAGGCCTGCCTGGGCAAAAAATGGGAGACCCTATCTGAAAAATAACTAAAGCAAAAGGGACTGGGGGGGCATGACTCAAGTGGTAGCGTTCCTGCCCAGCAAGCATAAGGCCCTGAATTCAAACCCCAACACAACCACCACCACACACACACACAAAAGACATGTAGACATATGTGGAAAGGTTGATAGCCTATAAACTTTTCAGGAAAGACTTTATATTTGTGTTCTATTTTGGTTGTCCATTATTCATTGCAGTTACCTTCATTGCAAACTCATGAACTCTTTCACCAGCCCAGACCGGATGTGTGTGTGCATCCACCAGACCTGTAATCGACAAAATTAAGAAACAGAAGGCACTTAGAGGCAGGCAGACTGAACCATGCTGCTCCTCGGAAAGCATGGTGGTGGCCATCCAACTTGGAGGAGAATAGGAATGCCAAACTCTAGAAGTTCTTTCTGTCTGGCTGATCTAGAAGGTTCTAATAGAGGAGAACAACCCAACATGGTGCAAATAGCCCTTAGAGAAATATAGCTCCTTTGCTCAGTTAAGTCCATGATCACCAAACATGATTTTAACCAGGCTGTCAAAACCATTAGTTGAGCAAAATCAATGGCTATATCACCAAGGAACAGCAATTAAACCCTCAACTTTGAGAAGGAAAACTAAGAAAGCTCAATCTGCCTTCAAGAAAGAAATAGTTTAAAGAGAAACTATAAAGCAATCACTTAGAACTTTTGTTTACCCAGGTCCAATTCAGTAAAGTGCATCTTTACTAAATATTTTTAATGACCCATAAATGATTCTCAGTGGGCTAAATCAAAAGTACCTATTAAGATTGCTTCTATCACATTCTTTCTTATGACATTTCACCCTGACTGTCTCTTGACCACCAAAAGCCTGAAGGTAGAGGTTCTGCTAGATGTACACAGTGAACATTTTAGAATATAAAATTTTCATATGTCATATTTAAGTTTTAGTATGGTTTATATAAAATATCAAAATACATATAAAAACCCATGTTTGTGTAGAACTCAAAACCTGAATCTTGTTTCAGATGATTGCCTGAGGCCATACAGCACAGACCGTGTAAATGATAAGTAATAAACTATGTTGTCAATCACTCAAGACACAAGTGAACAGCAATGAAATGTGTGTGTGTGTGTGTTTCTTTTTCCTTCTACAGCTGGGTCCTTTGTTTCATATCCTCTATAAATTTAGAAAATTTCTGGTATGGGAGACGGTAGCTGACGTGCTGTCACCCCTATGAGATGGATTAATAAAGTTCTTTCAACTGTTCTGGAAGCTAAACACAACACAGGGGGTTTCTCCTTGGGATCTGAATGGGGAGAAGTGAAGTGAATGAGTGGGTTTGAGCCCTAACTCTCTCAACCTGTTTAGCAAATTTGAGAAAGGTATTTTGCCCCAACCTCCAGTTCCCCACTGTGTAACATGTAGATCATGACACCTACCTTGCACAGCAGATAGGCAGATTCAACACGAAAGCATGTATGCAAAGCAGCTAGACACGCAACAGTAGAAATTCAATACATGGAGCCACTAATATTTTAATGCTATTGTAAGACCCTATTGAAAACAAGCTGCTGTTCTTCCTCCTTCTGTTCCTAGAGTAGCTGTTAAAACTACTTTCAGAGCTGTGTTAGAAAGGAGTAAGTACCTGGTAGGATACATTTCCCAGAGCAATCAATTCTTTCTTCAAAAGTTTCTTCAGAAAATTGCCTTTGGATAACATCAGCAGGACCGATAGCTTTTATAAACCCATCGCTGCAGAAAAATTCAAGAAATAGTTACTAAGTTTGGAGAAAATCCTGTGTATTACTTTTATGTTTGCTGTGTGAGCAAATTACCTGACAGAAGAACTTACAGGTGGGAATTACTTATTTTGCTCATGCCTTAAAATGGTCCAGGTAGTCCATCGTGGTGGGGAGGGCATGGTGGAGCAGAGCAGCTCACATCACAGTGACCAGAAGCAAAGAACTGGGGAAGTGGCCAGGGCAATATATAGCTCTCAAGGATACGCTACTAACTACACCCTACCTCCGACTTTCCAGTGCCTCTCAATAATGTCATCCTATTATTAATCATACCTTGATCAGGATCTAATCACTTCCCCAAAGCCCATCAGCTGACAATCCAGCTTTACTACATGAACCTGTGGGGGGATGTTTTTTACTCAAACCATAATGTCTTGTGAGAACTATAATGATTTAAAATGTTTTCAGATGCCTTACAGTCAATCAGTCAACATTTATTGTGATTTCCTCTTGACCTTGAGTCTTTGGGAAAGTGACTGGAGCTACAGTAAAGACAAAAAAAGTCAAACCATGTATAGCTGAGATTGCTGGTTGTTCTCAAGATCCGTGTTCCCTTTTCCCGAAGTACATTTCCAAAATCTCCCATCAGCCACATGTAGCCATGTGACTAAGTTCTAGCCAATAGGATTTCCACTCCCTAGTCTCATTGGCTGGAAAGTAAACACCATAACTAGATATGGAGTGGCCATCTTGGATCATGGAGTGACTGTTAGAGAGTGGCTATGCACAGCAGAGCAAGATAAGGGAGGCCCGGATTTTTTTTTTCATTTTTCTTTTATTATTCATATGTGCATACAAGGCTTGGTTTATTTCTCCCCCCTGCCCCCACCCCCTCCCTTACCACCCACTCCACCCCCTCCCCCCCCTCAATACCCAGCAGAAACTATTTTGCTCTTATCTCTAATTTTGTTGTAGAGAGAGTATAAGCAATAATAGGAAGGAACAAGGGGTTTTGCTGGTTGAGATAAGGATAGCTATACAGGGCGTTGACTCACATTGATTTCCTGTGCGTGTGTGTTACCTTCTAGGTTAATTCTTTTTGATCTAACCTTTTCTCTAGTTCCTGGTCCCCTTTTCCTATTGGCCTCAGTTGCTTTAAGGTATCTGCTTTAGTTTCTCTGCGTTAAGGGCAACAAATGCTAGCTAGTTTTTTAGGTGTCTTACCTATCCTCACCCCTCCCTTGTGTGCTCTCGCTTTTATCATGTGCTCAAGTCCAATCCCCTTGTTGTGTTTGCCCTTGATCTAATGTCCACATATGAGGGAGAACATACGATTTTTGGTCTTTTGAGCCAGGCTAACCTCACTCAGAATGATGTTCTCCAATTCCATCCATTTACCAGCGAATGATAACATTTCGTTCTTCTTCATGGCTGCATAAAATTCCATTGTGTATAGATACCACATTTTCTTAATCCATTCGTCAGTGCTGGGGCATCTTGGCTGTTTCCATAACTTGGCTATTGTGAATAGTGCCGCAATAAACATGGATGTGCAGGTGCCTCTGGAGTAACAGTCTTTTGGGTATATCCCCAAGAGTGGTATTGCTGGATCAAATGGTAGATCGATGTCCAGCTTTTTAAGTAGCCTCCAAATTTTTTTCCAGAGTGGTTGTACTAGTCTACATTCCCACCAACAGTGTAAGAGGGTTCCTTTTTCCCCCGGCCTCCCCTTATCTTTTTCCGACCATGTCGCGTTGCGCTGGCCGCCCCTCTTTCTTTCCCCTTCGTTCCTTTTCTTTCCTGCTCTCGTCCTTCCTTCCTCTTTCCCCTTCCCACCGCTCTTTCCGCTTCGTCTCTTCCCCTTTCTCCTCTCTCTCCCTCCCTTTTCTCCCGTTTTTTCTCCTCTTTCTTCTCTCTCCTCTCTCCCTTTCTCTCCCCTTTCCTCTCCCTTCCCCCGCCTTCCCTCCTTCTCCTCTTCTCCCCCTCTTTCTTCTCCCTTCTTTCTCCTCCCGCATCCTCGCCAACACCTGTTGTTGGTGGTGTTGCTGATGATGGCTATTCTAACAGGGGTGAGGTGGAATCTTAGTGTGGTTTTAATTTGCATTTCCTTTATTGCTAGAGATGGTGAGCATTTTTTCATGTGTTTTCTGGCCATTTGAATTTCTTCTTTTGAGAAAGTTCTGTTTAGTTCACTGCCCATTTCTTTATTGGTTCATTAGTTTTGGGAGAATTTAGTTTTTTAAGTTCCCTGTATATTCTGGTTATCAGTCCTTTGTCTGATGTATAATTGGCAAATATTTTCTCCCACTCTGTGGGTGTTCTCTTCAGTTTAGAGACCATTTCTTTTGATGAACAGAAGCTTTTTAGTTTTATGAGGTCCCATTTATCTATGCTATCTCTTAGTTGCTGTGCTGCTGGGGTTTCATTGAGAAAGTTCTTACCTATACCTACTAACTCCAGAGTATTTCCTACTCTTTCTGTATCAACTTAGAGTTTGGGGTCTGATATTAAGATCCTTGATCCATTTTGAGTTAATCTTGGTATAGGGTGATATACATGGATCTAGTTTCAGTTTTTTGCAGACTGCTAACCAGTTTTCCCAGCAGTTTTTGTTGAAGAGGCTGCTATTTCTCCATCGTATATTTTTAGCTCCTTTGTCAAAGATAAGTTGCTTATAGTTGTGTGGCTTCATATCTGGATCCTCTATTCTGTTCCACTGGTCTTCATGTCTGTTTTTGTGCCAGTACCATGCTGTTTTTATTGTTATTGCTTTGTAATATAGTTTGAAGTCAGGTATTGTGATACCTCCTGCATTGTTCTTTTGACTGAGTATTGCCTTGGCTATTCGTGGCCTCTTGTGTTTCCATATAATTTACAGAGATTTTTCAATCTCTTTAATGAATGTCATTGGAATTTTGATGGGAATTGCATTAAACATGTAGATTACTTTGGGAGTATCGACATTTTTACTATGTTGATTCTACCAATCCATGAGCATGGGAGATCTCTCCACTTTCTATAGTCTTCCTCAATCTCTTTCTTCAGAAGTGTATAGTTTTCCTTGTAGAGGTCTTTCACATCTTTTGTTAGGTTTACACCTAGGTATTTGATTTTTTTTGAGGCTATTGTAAATGGAATTGTTTTCATACATTCTTTTTCCGTTTGCTCATTGTTAGTGTATAGAAATGCTAATGATTTTTCTATGTTGATTTTATATCCTGCTACCTTGCTATAGCTATTGATGATGTCTAGAAGCTTCTGAGTAGAGTTTTTTGGGTCTTTAAGGTATAGGATCATGTCGTCTGCAAATAGGGATATTTTGACAGTTTCTTTACCTATTTGTATTCCTTTTATTCCTTCTTCTTGCCTAATTGCTCTGGCTAGGAATTCCAGTACTATATTGAATAGGAGTGGAGATAGTGGAGGCCCGGATTTTGACAACTCCATGGAGTGCCACCATCAGCTAGCCTTGTATCCACCTTCTGGATTTTTTCATTTGGGTCTTTGCTCCTCACTACAAATTCATTTTTCAAAATCAAGATTCAGAGCTATAATCCTAAAATCGGGAAAGTGCTATGAAAAACAGAGAAGAGTAAGGATTGTGAAATGGGACTGAAGTGGTAACTGAAGAGAATGTAAGAGTAGAGGAGCCAAAACTAGATAAAGAGGATAGATATTATGAAAGGAAAAAGTAGTATTGTGAGGTTATGAAGAGGACGGATTTAGGGGGCTGGGCACGGTGGTGCATGCCTGTGATCCTAACTACTCTGGGAAGAAATTGAAGGATCACAGGTTGAGGCAAGCCCAGGCAAAAAGTTAGTGAGACCCTATATCAAAAATAAGCTGGGCGTCAGTGCATTGGCCTGTGGTCCCAGGTACTTGGGAGGCTAAGGTAGCAGGATTGAGGTATGAGTTAGCCCCAAGAAAAAGCATGACACCTTATCTGAAACAAATTAAGTCAAAAGGGCTGGGAGTATGGCTCAAGTGACTCAAGGTTGTGAGGTTAAAAAAAAAAAAAGACAAGTTTATGGATAGAATAGAAATTAAATTTTGAGATTTAGCTTTGTATTTGGATTAGTACAGCTCTATCACTGACCCAATTCAATAATCTACCTCCTAAGCAGAGAATCTGGTGGTGGAAAGGAGCAGTAAAAGAAACTGCTGGAATGAGTGGGCAAGGTCAAAGAAAAGTCTCTTGCTTTTTTTTCTTCTCTTCTGTCAGAAGCATGTTCTTCTTGGCATGAAAATGTGTTAACCAGGAGCCATGGGGCAAGCCATCAGTTAATCTATACAATGAGCTAATGACTGTCACTGTGACAGCAGGGGTAACCTGTGTTTTAATGAGGTCAACCCTAACAATTAAATCCCTAACAAACCTCCATCTGTGTGGAAGGAGGATTTCAGTTGCACTGGGTCCTCTCCCTGGTCACACTAACCATGTGAATATCTACCTTGAAAGAACGCAAGTCTCTCATTCACTGGCAGATGCCTTTGTATGTCATGTTTGAACAATGGCTTCTTTCTGTCCAGGAACAGTTATTGAAGGAACTAAAACTGTTCTCTCAAAAATGTTATTTTTACAGTAGTCAGCTACTGGGAGGCTGAGATTTGAGGCTAGTCCTGGGCAAATAGTTCTTGAGACCTCATCTCAACCAATAGCTGGGTGCTGTGGCATGCCTGTCATCCCAGCCCCACCGGAAGTGGATCATGGTCCAGGTCTGCTTACACATAAATGCGAGACCCTATATGAAAAATAACCAAAACCAAAAGGATTAAGGGTGTGACTCAAGAGGTAGAGCGCCCAAGCACAAGGCCCTGAGTTCAAAACCCAGTTCTGCCAAAAAAGAAAGAAAACAAAAAAAAAAACCCCAGAAAACAAACAACAAATGACCTTCCAGACCACAAGTCAGCTCCCTCCTTCTTCTTCCCTCTTTCATGTGATCTTGATGTGAACATGAGCACACAGAACACACTTTGGAATCTAAGACTTCATATTGGTAGTAATCCCTACAGACATTCTGTTTCCCAGCCTAGGTAGATACTTCTCAACTTCCTAAGCAAGTGTGCTATTCTAACTGCTTTTAACACTGGAAATGTTTTTGGCCCTATGTTATAACTAGAACAACCCCCAGTTCCTAAAAGCTGGGCTCTTGTGCAACACTAAATACCCCTGGATAAGAGGTGGTCTGTTTGCCATATCTGAGGCAATCAGAGTGCCATGGGTCCCTGGGATGCAAATCTCATCCAGTCCCCACACCTACTGCAGGTTGCCCACCAAATTTTGTCCTCTTATTTACTTCTGGCAGGAAGTTTAGAAGGTTAAGAGACAATAACGGGAAATAACACCTTCTTTTTTGGTGGTACTAGGCCTTATGCTTCCTAGGCAGGAACTCTACCATTTGAGCCATGCCCCCCAATCCCTTTTTTGCTTTTTTAGTTATTTTTCAGGTCCTGGAGCCACCTCCAACCAAGATCCTCCTATTTCTACCTCCAGAGTAGCTGGGATTACAAACGCAGCCACCTTGCCTGGTCATAACACTCTCTTAATCAGTCCCGATCCTGATTTCCTATCACCTAAAGCCCACCGCCATCTAACTGATTTCCAGTTCTGAGGCTTTGATGTACAGACCACCAAATATGGGAGAGATGCTTTACAAAAATTCAGGTCTCAGAGCTCCCTCCCCAGAGATGCTGATTGAAAAGACATGAGGATGGGGTGGGGGGGAGGCGGGGAAAGACCAGCGTCAGAAATCAGTATTAATAAAAGAAAGACCCACAGGACATCCTAACACAGGTGGTCCCCTGGCCACACCTCCGGAAGCATTGGCAAGGACCGCAGTCCCTTCTGATATTTTACAAGCACAGGCAGGATCCGGATGCGTCCTAATGGGTGGGCATTTTGCTCACCACCCCACCCCCGCCTTTTTTTCCCCACCAACGACACAGTTCAGCGTGTTGGCAACAGGTGCCTAAGTGATAAGCTTGACACGTCGGGAAAGCTTTTACCACGTCGCCAGCGCACCAGTTAGAGAAAGGGGCGCCACCTCTCCACCCACGCCGGGATCCTCCCCTCCCCCCCGTCCCCGCGCCACTTACGCGCCGACCACCAGGCTGGCGCTCTCCAGCACCGCCAGGCCGCGCAGCGCGTCCCCGGCCAGGAAGCGCTCGCCGCGGGCGCACACCAGCACCACTTGCCGCGCGTTCTCCAGCAGGAGGCGGTGGCCGCCGGCCATGTCGCCGCGCGTCGCGGGTCTCCTGGAGGCCGCCGGACTCGGGTCGCGGGCGGGACGGCGGAGGAGGCGCGGGTCGCCGGCTGCGGCTCCCGGTCGGCGAGGCTGGGGCGGGGCGGGGCGGGGCGGCGCTCTGGGCCGATGCACTTGGACGCAGTGGATGAAAAGTCGGCCGGAAGGACAATTACTGTGCCACCAAGAATGACAATTAGTTAAAAAAAAAAAACAAAAAACTAATCGTCTGGGACTCCCTTCTTAGGTTGCCTTTTCGCGTTTTGGGGACATGGGTAGAGATTAAGTCCCTACTTTTCAGATAAGCGAATTGAAGCTTGATGACCCGAAGAAATCAAGACGGGCTGTATCGATCACGTGGCCACGCGAAGAGGGTGGGCGAGGGGTACGGGAATGGGGGAGACCTCTGTATTGGGGGTGGGAAGAAGAGCCCGGAGATGTGGCTCGGGAGGGAGGAGAGGGGAAGAAGGGACTTCTACCTAGAGGCGGGGGCAGGGACTAGAGCCCAGCAGATGGCAGAACGTGTGTGTGGCCGGCCACCTCTGTCCCGGAGCAGGTGCGGGCACGGGGGAGAGGGGGTGGGGTAGACCCTGGAAGGGGACAATGTGTGGGAGGGGGGAGGGGGAGGCGCTGTGTGTAGGGATCTGAGACTGGAACCTGGCGATGGAGCCCCAGGAGGGGACAAAGTGCCCCAGCCCCAGGGTGGGGGGAGGAGGGGACTGTGTCGGGGCTCCCCGCGGACCGAACCCGGAGAAGGGAGGAGGGGGTGAAGTGCTGCAGCCGATCTGGGGTCCGCGCGGCCGCGAAGCGGGGTGGTGGCGGGTGCAGCGCACTTTTCGGTTGGCCAGCTCCGCTCTAGGATCTGCTTCCAGACGGTCCCCAAGATGAAGGGGAACCCGGGTAAGGGAGGATAGACCCCAGACAGAGTCCCCAGCGTCTTCCTGAAGGAGAGGTCCGAGCAGCTCCTGGATCCAAGCCCAAGGAGGTAAGAGAGGTCTGCGCTCAGCGTTCGCCCCTCCCGCTCCAGCATGGGAAGGTCCGCATGCACCGTGCGATCAAGCTTGGAAGACAGAATCAATTTTGTTGAAAGATGGTCTGTGATTCTCACCCCGTCTCTTCCTGCCTATCAATTGCTATGGAAACACTGGCAGGCACCAGATTTTGTTTTGATTCTTAATTACTTTGTTTCATACAGTACACTTTTATTAGAAGGTCTGTGTTAGGTCTTGTGGAGCATACAAGACAGGAAAGGCACTTTCCCTGCTCAGCAAAGACTTTACAATAAAAAAGAAGACAGATGTACACACAAATAATAAATCATAAAGTAGGCTAACCCTGCAAAAGATCAACCTATAGTTAAATATAAAAGCAAGTTAATTTAGTGTCATTTTAAAACCACTTTAAAAGTAAGAACAGGGGCTGGGATGTGACTCAGTGGTGGAATACTTGCTTAACATGTAGAGGGCCTGAGTTCTATCCCCAGCAGCACAAAAACAAACAAACAACAACAACAACAACAAAAACCCTAAGAACACATTGCAAAAACTCCTTTAGATGAACATTTTTTTTAAAAAAAGGGTATACATTACTATGGCTTATAAAAGAGAGAGAGATCAGATAGGAAAGAGAAAGGGAAAAATTGGAAAAGAATTCAATAGACAGTGTGAGTGAAAGAGGCTCTTGAAGGAGAAAAAAAAAAAATCCAAAGATTACTCACAGCTCAGACACACAATCACAAACAGTTGTGTGTGTGTGTGTGTGTGTGTGTGTGTGTGTATGTCTATACATTTTAAAAAAGAGAGTAGAATTTGTGGGGAATAGAAGCATATACTGTAACCAATTCATAAAATTTTATACTATAAAATTTCTACTGAAGACTTTAATCTGTTACATTTCCTAACTGCAGGCACTTTTTTTTGCAAATTTATTCAAGTACACATATAAAAGATGGGTTAAAAAATTATAGAAAAATGGAAGACTTTGGAACTCAGTAAACTTGGTCTCATTCCTGCTTCTGATATTTATTATCTATTTGACCTTGGGCAATTTGCATAAAATTTCTCTGAACCTCAGTTTCTTATCCTTTTCATAGGAATAATTTTTTCTACTTTATGGCCTTGTTTGAGCTTTAAATGAAATAAAATGTAAATTACCTAGCTCAATGCTCACCACTCAACAAGTAATACATAATTAGGTTATTTTCATCCTGCAATTTTCTTGCTGGTCAATTACGTTAAGGATTAGATTTTAGCCAACAGTACTAGTTCATCTCCAGACTTCACAGAATGTACCATGTACTATACTTAAAGCTGACAAGGTTTTGGCAAGCCTAAAGAAGTCATACTTCTATTTCATGAGCATTGATGTCTGTGGGTAAAGTCAATGCATCTGCTTAACAGTCCAGGTAGACAACATTACCTGCGAAGCATCTATAAACAAGAGGTTGGCAGAGCAGGAAAGATTAAGAATGTCTCTGTCTCTGTCTCTCTCTCTCTCTCTCTCTCTCTCTCTTTCTCTCTCTCTCTCTCTCTTTGGTTACTGTTGGATAGTTACAGATGGGTAAGGATAATAAATTTTTCCTTAGTAGTAACCAGCATCTCTGTAGCACCTATTAGTTTGCAAAGCACTTTTCCTGCCACCTGACTCACATTTGTGGACTCCCCCTGTTCTTCCTTCCACTTGACTTCTAGTTATATTTTTCAGTGTGCCAAAGGAGCATTCCAAAACATCAAAAGTCCACACAAATCACTCAGCTTGACGCCAGCAAGGCCATAGAGGTCAGACTGAAAGTAATTTCCTCATTCTGTGCTCTGCTTCTGACCTAATCGAAAGAGGTGGTCATGGAGAAGGCCAAGGACCTGGTGGCCTCTGGCTTTCAGGTAAACAAAAGGACTTCCAGCTCTGGTATCTCCACACCATCCAAGGACACAGTTCACAGCCGTTCCTCCTAGTCTTTGTCCAAGGTGGGTGGGGAGGAGGTGGAGAGAAAAATCGAAAGGTATTGGTTCTGAGAAAATCTTTTTAGATCCTTAGATGATTGTGGGTGATACACACAGCTTTTTGTCACATGTTAAGAGAATCCAGAAATCCACTTTCACTGGGTTGTTGTAAAAACCAAATACAAACTGTTTCTGATAGTATCTGTAGACAGGGTTGCTGCCAGTTTTTAATTTAGAGTTAGTCTAGAACTTTAGGATTGGACTTTATAAAACCTCAATTTTCTTCCCTGAGTCTGCACTCAGGTGGTTCAGGCCCCCCAAATTTGCATTGATTTTGCAATAGATTCCTCTCAATGACCAGGCTTCCAGAATTTTACTTCAGGGTGTCTCCCAAAAGCTAGTTGTTTCGTACATCCTCTATTCTTCTCAAATACTGGTGGCAATTCACCGGATAGAGGATGAATCTAGGCAGTATCTAGGTTGAAAAAAGTATAAACAGTCATTTCCCCCAGCTTAATGTGACCATGTACTTTGCATGAATTATCTGTTTGAAAATGACAACAAGCCCATGAGAAGGGCATCATGATATAGGCTTTGTGCACTGAGTGTAAATCCCTGGCCTGGGAGAAAGGGCTGATAAGAATGGGAGACAGGAGCCAAACGTGCCCACCCCCCAAAGGCCAAGGTCTTTCCTAGTGCCCTTCTGCACCCCTGTGACGCTATTCATCGAAGGACCCAACTCAGTGACCAAATGTAATTGCATAAATGTCAGAGGAATGCAAGAATTGTTTAACTCAGCCAGCATAACTCAGTTCATTTGGAAGACATGTTGTACTCCCTGTCCCTTTGGATGTACAGTAGATATCCCAATTTACCATGATCAAAACTGAGGCTCTAATATTCTCAACCATCCCCTTCCCCACAGTCTTTTCTGTCTCTATTGATGGCAACTCCATCAATATTGGCTTTTTATGTTATATGCCACATCTACATAAATCCTGTAGGCTTACTTCAAAATATGTCTAGAACTGGACTATTTCTGCCCATCTCTACTATTATCATAAAGGACTCTTGCTTCCCAATGGCTGCAACCTACTAGCCATTCTCCCTGTGCAGCCCTTATCCCCTTCTATAGTCTCTTCTCAACTTAGCAGTCCGAGTGATTCATGGACTGATTCTTCATTTCACTAAGTCATAAATGACCTATCAAGTTCTCACACACTAGAATGTGTTCTCCCTGTGGCCTCATCTATCACTGTTCCCTTTGTTCACTGTGCTTAAGTTCTGTTCTTTAAACATGCCAAGAGTCTTCCTCCTTAGAACACTCTTTTCTGTGTGCTTTCACTTTCGTGGCTTTTGCCACGCATCTGACTTTTCCAAAGGCTGGGCATGCTAACTCACCTGTGAATACCACTAGATATCCACTCTTTGTATCCTTTTTGAAAGATGGGGAAATTGAATGTGAAGATTCAAGGATATAGGAGCTCTGTGCTCTTACTTGTTTTAGTCTGTGTCACCTCTAAAAACTATGGTTTGCAATCACTCCACCATTTTAAATCCCTGACATTTCTGAGCTCTTTGTCTCTTTCATCCATTGGAAATTGGATTCAGATGTGTGTTTAAGATGTGAAATTTCAAGCATTTGATACACAATCCAATTACATTTTTCCTTTCTTTTTTTCTGGGGGGTTGTGCTGAGTGTTTTTTTTTTCTTTTTTTATCCATCATGCAAAATAGCACAAGAAAATATTTGTGCATAACAAAGACATTGACTTTTCCTGGTTGGAACTTTCCTAAAGGGAACTTTATCATTGCTTCCTATGAACTGGTTCCCTTCTCTTTCTCTTCTATTCTTCACTAACCCTTCACTCATTAATAGGGCGATAAAAGCAGATTGAAGTATAGAAGTATCACAACTTCCAGAAATTGTTGATTTTATTCATACGCCCTATGAATTACTAGGGAGATGGAATCAGAGCAGAAATCTGTTGTTAGCAGTTAAAGGAATGCAAACTTGCAGTTTTTCTGTGAGTAAATGCCAGAACCCTGGAT